TTACCCCCCCCCTCTCCCCCGTCAGCTTGCACTAACATCTTCATACGCCAAAGGACCTTGGCACGCTCTCGGACAACTGTCGTTACATTATGCCCTCACTTCGTGCTATGCTCTTTCACCTTATCACCGCAGGCTCTATCTTTGCCGTACTGGCAACGGAGACTGCCGCTCAGGCACTTCAAATTCCGTCGTCATGGCTGGCACGTCTTTCATCACTGTCCATGCTTTCATTTCCTTCGGCTGATCAAGAATACTCACAGAACACGTCGTCGAGTACGAGTCGGAGCTCGCGTGAAGACATAGCATACGGCGCAGCCAACACGCTTTACCACCAGATCGGAAACACAGGTATGCTGGCGCTCTTCAGCCTCTCCCTCCATCTCACGCATGGCTTCCGGTGAAGGTCAACGCACAGCGCAATACCGCTCCAACTACTACGCCGTTCTGGCCCTTCAAGACTACTACAGCGGAAACACCACATGGATGGCATACGTAACACCGAGCATGCAAAGCTACTACCAACAGATCGGGGTTTACGGTAACAATCTTGGTTGGAGTGGCGACGCCAATTACTGGGCCCTTGCGTTCTACTACGCATATCGAACATACAAACAAGAGGTTCTCCTCGAGACCGCAATCAGCATATACAACGCGACCTATGCGGCTGCTTTCATCACGCCCAACGACGCAGCGGCTGGAACTGGTGCAGGGCGGAACGTTTCTTTCGCTCTTCCATCGTGCACGTCAGGTACGTGGAAAGGTCTTGCTCAGTCGTTACTTCCCATTCATCGGCTCCTAGATACTTTCGCGGGTGGGGTATTCGTTGTAAACCTCGTTATCCGACTATGTATTCTCCAGAGCGCTGAGCTCACTCTAGGGGAATGTGTCCACCGACCTCGATGTGTGCGCAGAGTGTATCGGCCCTTTCTTCACGTGAGTCTCATCACGCACCATTCCTTCGGTCCTATCTCTCTCTGGAACTCATACAACTTTCCAGGCTGTCGGCTTATCTCTTCGAAGCTACGAATCAATCCTACTTCAGCGACGCCGCGCAGCTCTCAGCGGACTTCATGATCCATCACATGTGGAACGGAGCGTTTGTCGTTGATACGTTCCGTCTCCACGACTGTAGTTTGAATCCCAAACCTTGTACACTCGACCAAGCCGGATTCGTGGAAGGCAAGTCGGCAGGGCTACTACCTTCCGTCTCGACGGGAGCTGATGGATGTGACGTAGGGCTGTCTGTATGGGCTAACATCACTCAAAACGCTACTCTGACCTCACTGTAAGTATGTCAGCGTGGGGCTCGTGCCGTGTAGCACTGATCGGCTCTGCTCTGATAGGCTGAGAGACGTTGTGTCCAATGTCACGACTCACCCGGCATGGACTTCGAACAACGGTGTCATAGACGGTCAGTGACGGGCTCGTTCTAGGGATTGGCTTGGATCATCGCTCATGGACCTTTGACCTCTTAGAGTTAAACGTCCAGTTGAGCATGTTCTACCAGAACTTCAAAGGACTCTTGATTCGCGCACTACTAGAGGCAAGAGCACGGAACCTCGGCACCGATCTCGACCTTTACATTGAAGCGTACATCCTCAATCAGGCAAGTTCTTCTTATGAGGTGTCGTCGCTCGTAGGGCTACTTGCTGACAAGAGCGAGCGCAGTTCAACTCCATCCTTTCCTACACTCGAGGCTCGGAGCCAGATACTGTAGACTTCTATGGTCTGTCTTGGATTGCCCAACGTGCCACGTGGGTCACATCGTCGTGCGATCAATCTGAACAAGCCCCATAACTCTCGATAGGTCGTTCAATTCTGTCGGAAGTATCGGTGCTCTGGACGTCCTCAACGGGGTCCTGAACCTCACAGTATCTGCAGACGGGTAAGCGTCTCCCACGTACCTCCCACATGTGCGCATGGCTGAACCTTGTATATGAGCGTAGGCCAAATACTGGCGGTGCTACTACAAGCGCAACCACTGGAGTCCCTACTGCGACCGACTCCGCACGCCAGTCTCAACACGCATCGATTGATACAGGTGCGGTAGCAGGAGGGATGGTGGGAGGGGTCATTGTGCTCCTCGCCGCGATAGGTCTCTGCTTGTGGCGGCGTCGCCGAAGAGCTGCGAAGAGAGAACACCACTTCGCCACCACTCACTTCGGTGACATCCCTACCATTGGCATAGACCCATTCGTGCTTTCTGCGCCCGCAAACCAACCTTCATCAAAGTGGAACGACTTCTACGCGCCTAACTCAGGAGGATCTCGCGCATCTTCATTGGAAGCCGCGCCGCTGACGAGTGTCGTACATCGCGCGCAAGTCGCCGCGGAAAGACCCATGCCCGGAGAGGATAGACTTGAACAGGAGGGTTTGGATCTACCGGGCGCCGTCGGGCGTCTGCAAAACTTGATTCGCTTGTTGCATCGTCAAGACGAGTTTCCGCCTGCGTACGCATCTTGACAGGCCTGGCCACGAAAACTTCTCAACTATCGTATTCTGTAGCTTGCTGCATCTCCGCATGATTACCATTATAACTTTATGGCTTTCTGCTGGTTTCTGTGCTCCTACTGTGCTCCTACGCACAACTGTGAGCGTCTATATGACTGATAGCCTTCCGGTGACCGGACATAAACGCTACACAAAGTGAGGGATATGGACGTGTGCATAAGACAGCATGAGTTTCGTGCTGCTCCCTTCAACAGCGGTACTCCGTGCCGCACACTCTCCAACGCTCCGCGTCCCCTTGCGGCGGCACTCGCAGCGGTTCTCCGCGCCGTCTCGCCCTCTCTCTCGGGTACCCTCCGACTCCTCGAATACCCAAAATCCTAACCCCCCTTCGGCGTGGCGCGTTTACCTTCGATCTAAGAGACAATCAGTACCTTTTGCGCCATCCTCAAATGTGTATGCACCTACTGCACATGATTAAGTCTTGGAAGCGCCAAACGCGGTTGGCCGTCGTGCGCGCGAGAGACCATCGTGGTCGTCCGCAGACGCGTCGTGACGCGTCAAGGTCGCCGGTCAATCGCCGGTGCCGAAATGCCGAAAACGGGCGTCAATATTGTTTGCCAGTCGTCTTCGCATGTCTTGGCTTGCTTACGAGCAGTGCCTATACCTTAAGTAGTAGCTGTAGCAGCATGCGAATAACGGCTGGTATGAACCCTGGTCTGGTTGCACGATGTTAGTGTGCGGGAGAGGCGGATCAAATATCCCCAACCGAAGCGCGTTCACGCGGTTCCAATACATATCAACTTGAACTTGACTCTTGCTGTCGCCACTCACTTGGAGTACTACCTAGCTGGTGCCGAAGACCGATTTCTTGATGCTCTACAAGTCCGGGCGACCGTTCCCCTCTGCACTCACGCGCTTGAGTATGGGCTATCTCGGTACCTGCAACTTCGCAGATCGCAGCGGAGACCGCCGGGCTCCGCGCTTCTCCCTTGCGACGCGCGCCCACCTCAAGATCAAACCGCGCCGGCGCCGGGGCACCGTACATCACCAGCGACCGAGGTCTCGATGGCGACCAAAGGACCCCCACAAGCCGAGATCGAGACCACTGGGTCGATGCTGGTAGACGCGCCTCTCGCAGTCAAGACTGGCGCGTTGGTCGCCGCCGAGGATGCCGCGCTCTCAGCGCCGGCGCGTTCCGCGTTCACACCACGAATCGAAGATATATTCATTTCGACCTCATTGCCTCCCGAACCGTCATCACCTAGCCTCAGCGCTCTCTCCCTCACACCACGCCGAACACTCCACCGTCCCCGCTATCGAGAGCACTGGGTCGGTGTCGCTCTTTGTATCGCTCACTAGGTCGCCGGGGCCCGTCGAGACCGATACACTTCTACGGACCCGCTGCCGCCACCTTGGCCCCAGCCCCAGCCCCTCCCCCTATCCCGCGAGCACCACCCCGTCCTCGCTCGTTGCACCACCTACGCCACATTGGTGGTTCTCAATGGCACAGCACTGGCCAAACATCCATCTCTCGACCCGTTCGGCGCGACGATGAGTAAGAGGCGGATTCACGGGGATTTTGCGAAGGAGGGCAAGAGGAGGCGGCATGACGATGTTGAATCGGGTCACGATTCGTCTGCTTGGCGAGGGCGGAGCTGTGGAGGATGGAGACGCAGTAGACGACGTGCAGATTGACGTGGACTTTGAAGATGATGCAAAGGGATGGAGAGTTGTCACCATGGTTTTCCCTCTCGACGTGCAGGCGCCTGCGCTCATTCCGCCACTCATCGCAGCTCACGCCTCACTCGTAAGAAAGAACGGCGACGGCAAGATAGCTTTGGAGGCTCTCCGCGTGCACATCGAATCTCCAACATTTGATCTATTGCCGCATCGTGTATCCGACGTCGACTGCTTCGAAAGGCGGATCCGACAGCTCATTCGCTCGCGGAGACACACGCTAGGAAGGTCCTATACGAGTTGCAACCGTGTTTGGGTTGAAGAGCAAGGGCAACTACAAGGGGGACCGGGAAGACAGACGGGCCCTATGAGGACTAGTGAACGCGGGCAGGGTCTACGAAGGGAAAGTGCGCGCCGTGCCTCCGTGAAGCGGGGTGGTGGTGCGGTGACTGCTGGAGACGAGAAAGCCTGTTCTAGAGGCGATACGGCGCGGTCAGGGAGGGTGAGGAAGTCGGCAAGGTACGCTCCCTAACGTCCGTTCGTTCCGTATGTCCTCTTCTGACTTGTCATACGGATAGATGTACAGATCTCACCGAAGCGTAGCAGATTGAACATTGAGTTCGTGATGCTCGCACCGATGACATCAGAGATGGGCGTTGGTCTCGGAGGAGAGACGGACGTAATTGAGATCTCGCTCACAGCTATAGGCACAAATACGAGGATGTGGTTGGGACACCGGATGAAGGAGGTTGAATTAGCCGCTTGGATAGACTGATCGAGAATGCCTATTAGGCGGCCTGGTGTTGATGAGGAGAGAGATGAGACTGCGAGTCCGAATATTGAAAGTTGTGCTTCGTCATTTCGTAGTAATTGTACTTTGCGTACCGACTGGTCTTCTTCTACTCGCTACTATATACACTATCGTCCGCTGAAACCATGAGCCGACACTAGTTGTTTGTACTTTGCCCGCCCCGCCCGTGAACGTGCCTCGTGACTGCTGTGACCGCGCGCAATGGTTGATGCGGCGAACCGTCCCGTGGCTTTGTTAGCGACCACCACCATCCCGATCAGGAGCGACGAAATAGCTTTGCACCTGGTCGACACTAAGATGCCCATGCCCATTCTACTACCGAAGAAGTCGTCTAAGCGTGATATGGTTTCCACGATCGGATGCGCGACGCCGCAGGCCTCTTGACGTTAATTCGGTCGAACGCCATTGATCGTCGGCGGCTGACGGGTTCGTCGAGGTGGTGAGTGCAGCATGTATTGCGAGCATCATGTCTGTCGCGCTATGTCGATTGGACTTAAATTTTGACTCGGTGCGCAAGCTGCAGCTGCTTGCAGTTGTTTTGATCTAGGATGCGTACCTCTCGCGGGTTCCAACTTGACCTAGCTCGCGCGTGCTATCTCGCGTCTGTCTAGACCAATGATGTGAAGGCTAACACTCCTCTCTCTCTTCGATCCTACAGAGCTCGTGATTTGCTACTCGATACATCGCCGCTTCTCTCCATCTCTGCAGTGTTCTCGCGGCCGATCCGGATCTCATGGCAACACACACTCACTTTAACCCGACGTAGCACTTCGTCCAATCCTCGCCGTGAGCGGCGTCAGTCCAGTCGATGGTAAATTGACCGGCACCGAGCCTATGTATGATGGGAGGATGCTGGATGTACGGGCGGTACTCTGCCGGAACATAGAGAAGCAACTCCTGGTTAGGCCCGCGTAGCCATCCCGATTGTCGGTATGGGAGATAAAAGTGATCGAAGCTATTATTCAACACTGCAATAACGTGGGTTCAGCTCCTTTGCATGGCATACACTTCGTGGCACTCACCTTTTCTGCAGCTTTCAGAGGAAGTTTCCGAGTCGATATCCCACACCGCAATGGTACTATCGTATTTCAGGTCGCGTTCATAAGGCTGGTAATCCAGCTGTCCTGATCTGCACCCTGATATAACGCGTTTTCCATCTGATGTGAATGCAACGAACTGTATATCCAATGCATGCCCCTGAAGTATCGGCATCTTGAGCTCTCCGGTGAAAGGATCCCATATATGAATTCCCTTCTCGCAGACAGATGCGACACTCGAACCTCGATGGGAAGCCAGAGCCATTGGAGATGTGCCGTAGTGATTGAACATGCATGGAGTGATCGGTGATCCCATCTCGTGGGAGTCCGTATGCATGACAAATACTTCCCACCGAGCTTGAAAACAGACAACGACATGGGTCGCAGAGAGTTGGATTATCCCTGTCACTTGAGAGCCTCCCACGTTTGGTGGAGAGGACCATAGGCAAAGCAGGCTAGCGCGCAGGTCCCAGCCATATACTGAGCCACTCGAAGTACCAGAAAAAATATATTGACCGTCGGGTGAGAATGTCAGTATGGTGCAACGTTCGATCCTCTCTTTCGATTCCGGAAATGGCAAGGTCACAGAAGTGTCAAATCGCAATCCAGCAGGTTGCATAGTCCAAACTCGTATGCGCCATGAGGGTTCGTGATACGATTGAACATCAGCCGTCGTTCTTTTCTCAGACAACACAGCACCCACATGCCGATGATCTGGGCATAAAGATACGACCAAAGCATCAGAGTCAACGTCCAACTTGTGCTTTTGAAGACACTGGCTGGAAATGGTGTCCCATACACAGATGATACCATCAAGTGAGCCTGTAATGATCTGAGAGGCATTCGAGTGGAATGTGATGGTCGATATCTCATGATCGGAGTATTGAGGCCCGCAATCGAATCGAGCAGTAAGCATCGCCGATTGTGCACTCCACACAAAAATCGCATGTGCCCCAGATACTGCTGCAATCCATTGCCCATCAGCTGAGCAAGTGGCGAGTCTGAACTCGTCGCTCGAATCCCTATCTAACCAGCGACAATTGGCTGCGATCAAATGAGAAAAGTGATGCTTGTAGGCAGTGGACAAGCATGGGTAGGCTTGTATGAATGGGAGTATGGAGAGATAGACATGAGAAGCACATTTATCAATCACTTCACCCATTGACGCAACCAAGCTACATATCTCATTGATGATGACGGCGAGAGGAGATGATTCATCTGACTTGGCAAATCGCGTCTGAATCCGGACAAGAGCCACCTCGATGGATCCAGAGGGAGTAGCAAGAGCACTACAGCACTCAAGCCAGAACAGTAGCTTTGACAGGAAGAACTCTTCCATCTTGTCAATTATGGACTTAGATGGACTCCGGATGCCTAGAACATGCTCGGTCCAATGGCCGCAGGCATGCGCGATATGGGAGGGTATAACATTGAGGTTTTGTTCAGAGTTTGGCAGGTACGATGTGAGCGCACCGGATATAGAGAAGTGTAGATCGTCTGACAACATCGCTGTGAAGCATGCAGATGCAAGGTCATTGTGGCCATCTTCAACAGAGATATGCATATCCTTATGCGCACGGTTTGAGTCTGTGAGATAGTCTCCGAAAGACGCATGAAGCGTCGAAAGAGCCTCGCCATCATCATCTCTAGGGATGTTGATGACTGCATGTAGCTCGTCAAGTGCAGTTCTGATCTCATATACTTCGAGCTTGAGAAACCAGGCCAAGGTTATCATATCCAATGATTCTCGGGAAGCCAATATCGCGGACAGAATGCGCCTGGTTAAGTTCAATTCATCTCGTGTTCCATGCGATGTAGCAGAGGAAAGAATAAATTGATAAATGCGGTCGAGATCGTTAAGCGGATTGACGGTGGACAGAGACTGGTGTCCCACATGTAGCACATCTTCCAGCCGCTTCACAGGATTCTTTCCCCCAACATACTCGGTGGTCGTAAATGCATATATGAACAACGATCCCGATAGTGAGACCAGAGATTCGGTGTCGGAATCAGACGGCCAATGTTTGGGAAAGGTAGTGTATCCTTTGAACCGCTCGAGTATCTCACGAAAGCGGTACTTGATATAGCGGCGAATGTCAGCCTTGACAACCATCGCTTCTATATTGTGAAGCTTCAAGGTGTCGTACAGAACGCGTGAGTCGAAACGTCTCCGGATATGCTTTTCGGGGCGAGAAGTCAAGAAGAATTTGACGGGCAGTTTCCGCGCGACCGAGACGAGGGCATCCAGTAGATCGCCAACAGTGGCATCTTCAGCTTCGTCCAAAGCATCTATGACCAGGACAGGAGTAGGAGACGTAGTCATCCTGCGCATGAAACGTGTGAAGGGTTCGACGAACAGCCGTTCGACCTGCAACTTCAAAGTCCACGAACTTGGGCGCGCTCCGAAAGAGTATTGTTTCAAGACGGATAATAGTGCGACCTCGTACTGGACATCGAACCCGGCCAAGGCGCCCGCAAGCGTAGGTATGATGCGCTGTGTATCAGAAAGTGCTGCAAGACTCTCTCGAGAGCAAAAGTAGCTACCGCCGAGAGCGCCGGCTTTCTGAAGTTGTCGAGCAAACGAACGGGCAATTGTAGACTTCCCCGTACCGGCCATCCCGTTGAGCCAATATATACAAGGTGACGAGGTTGTCTGGCTCCAGACGCGAAGAGATTGAAGAACGTCGACACGAGTACCTTGCAGGCAGCCCATACGTCTTTGAGCATCGAGATCGGCATGATCTACGCGGTCCAGTCTTCCTAATAGCACTAGTTCTTTCATGAATACAACAATCAGTGGTAGTAGAAAAGGTTCACGCACCAGAGATATTCGCCTCTTCTTGTGCAGTCAGTACCTGGCGAAGCTACAGTGGACCTTAGTGACCCCCTGTACGACATAGCGTCTTCATGTACCTCATTTTGAATCGCCGCTGCAGCACTGGTGAGCGCGTGGCGTTCGTAAATGTAACATGACAGACTCACTGAGCCTTTGGGATATACTATTGACAACACGATCTACAATCGCCAAGGACATTGAATCGCGTTCGTGCGCTATGTTGTTGAGATGAAGAATGTTGAAGCAATAAATCATACACGTACTTGACACCATCATACTCAGTTTCTCCCGGAGATCAACAGCGATATTGCGGCAGATGTCGGCGTCAACGCGTGTCTCCGATAGGATCGCGCGGCTTTCGAGCTCCGTCAGAACGCGCAAACGCTTCAGTGCCTCCTGCATGTCGGTCCTATTGGCAAGGCTCTGGCCGTAATGAACTTGATAATGAGGTCAGACGGAGTCAAACAACAGACACTGTATGCACTGACATAAACGTGCGCATGAGCGATCCGTAGTCGAGAAGAATTTTGTGGCTAGAGCAAATACGTCGAGGACGTGTGCCAAGATAAGAGACGCGATGCTCATAGATAGGTCGCCCAAGCTAGTCGTATTTGAGGTGCGAAGGTGTATCGATCGGATGGAGAACTCGACTTCCTGAAGAAGCGATACTAACGCATCATATCGATTTGATACACCTTTGGTAGCCTACGAGAACCTCAGCAACGTAAACATCATCATACTTTCTTCAAAGGAGTGCACGCACGGCGAGCAAGGCTCCAAATGCGACGAAGATAACCTTTCCACCTGGAATAACAGCCTTCACGGTTGTGTTGAGTTCGTTGCACGAGATGCTAGTAAATAAGCGACGTACAGAAGCGCCGGCAGCGTCACCCAAGGTATCATTGATGATGAGTAAGGCGTCGACTATCGGCTTCACATAGTAGTTGCGTAACCTGCCCCATCTCGAATCATCGTGCCGAAAGCGCTTTATTCTGGCCTGGAAAATGTCGCAGATGTCTTCGGGAGATTGTAGCCCGCTCAGGACATCGGCTAACGGGTGATTCGATAGGTCGATATCTGTTTTTTTGGTGTAGTCGCTGAGTGTCTGAGACCAGAGTTGTTCGAATTGAGCATGCGCCTTGGGGAGCTTGAGGCCGTTGGCGGTTCCGTTATCTACGCCCTGCACTGCCTCGTCCCCGGTCGGCGCTAAGAGGTAACTGGAATTTGAACTTGAAGCAGCTGAGATCCTGGCTACCTGCACAGCGATCGCCGTTGTCGACATATCCAGTCTCGCGTATTGTAGTTGAGCCAGGTAAAGACGGCTGTGAGCCTACTGGTGGTTCGAAGCGAAGTGGGGCGCCAACATTGCCCCGCACTGACCTCGCGGCGGCGCTTCCGGAGTCCTTCACACGCACCCACTGGGACCTGCAGCTCTTCGCCTTCCTCATGATCATGATCATGGCCGGAGACCTTTGCGTCAACCGGAAGTCGCATGCGTCTCATTCGACCCTCGCGGCACTCGAGACGTCGGAAACGATAAGAAGTATGGCGGACATGTGATCAAACGGGGTGCTAGTGCTCTAGCGCTCGGACAAGTGATAGTGTCGTGGCCTCGAACCTCTTGGGTATCACCGTATATCACAAATATTCTAGTAAGCATGCGCGTGTACACTACAGCCAGCACACGACCAGTGCACCCTTACCCTCCACCCAACACCAGCGCCGTCCAACTCGCGCTCAGACTGACCGAGAAAGTACATCATCATCATCACGTAAAGAAACACTATAACACTACGATTGAGATCGAGAACGCAAGAAACAAGATACATATGCCGGGGTGGTAGTATGCAGAAATGCAGAACGGACGGATGAATGGGGGTACTGGGTACTGAAAGAACAGAGAAGTGCATGGGAGAAGAGGGTATGGACGTGAGGTAGGCATGAGAAGACAGCATTAGGATCAATAAAGAGATGGATGCGGCATTCGGGAAACGGATCCTTGAGTCTACGCCTCGGCGGCAGGCTCCGCAGCAGGCTCAGACGCAACAGCAGCGCCGTTCGCCTGCCCATCCGCCTTCGCCTTCGCCTCAGCAAGCTCTCCCTCCTTCTCCTTCAGCTCCTTCTTCACACTCTCCAACGCCTCGCTCTTCTCCTTCACATCCTTCTCCGCGCTCTCGAGCTTGCTCTTAACGCCCTCGAGCTCCTCCGCAGCCGCCTTCTTCGCCTCCGCGAGCTCAGCGCCAGCCTTCTCAGCGACGGCCTTGGCGCTCGCGAGCTCGCTCTCGAGCTCCGCCGCCTTAGCCGTAGCAGCGGCAACGTCCGCCTCGCTCTTTGCAGCGGCCTCCTTAGTGGATGCAAGCTCCTTCTCGAGCTTCTCAGCCGCTTCCTTCGCGGCGACAACAGCAGCTTCGTGCTCTCCGGACGCCTTGACCGCGCCCTCGAGCTTCTCAGCCGCGTCGGCAGCCTTCGCCTGCGCGCTGGCAACCTCAGCCTCAAGCTTCGCGCTCGCCTCCTTCGCCGCTTCCAACTCGGCGCTCAAGCTCTCAGCTTTCGCCGCATGCTCAGTCACAGCAGCCTCATGCTCAGACGCGGCCTTCTTCGCCGCGTCGAGCTCAGCCTGCACGCTCTCAAGCTTAGCCGCCGACTCCGCAGCGGCGCTCTTCGACGCCGCAAGCTCAGCCTCGAGCGCATCGGCCTTGGCCTTCGCCTCGCCGACCTCCGCCTCGACCTTCGCGCCCGCCTCTTTCGCAGCGGCAAGTGCAGCCGCGGCGCTCTCGAGCTCCGCGACCTTGTTCTCGCGATTCGCCTTCTCAGCTGCGAGCGCTGCATCCGCGGCTTCCTTCGCGGCGGCGATCTCAGCCTCGAGCTTCGCGGCGGCCTCTTTGGCAGCAGCGAGCTCGGCGGCGACACTCTCGGCCTTCGCTGCGTGCTCAGATGCGGCGGATTCGTGACTGGTAGCAGCCTTCTGTGCTGCTGCGAGCTCGTCCTGGGCAGCAGCGAGCGCCTTCGCGGACTCCTCAGACGACGTCTTGAGCGCTGCAACCTCGGATTCGAGCGCCTCGGTATGCGTCTTGGCCTGTGCAACTTCACTCTCAAGCTTCGTCGCCGCCTCGAGCGCCGCAGACAGCGCAACGTTGGCCGCATCGAGCTCCTTCGCCCTGCCCGCGCCGTTCTCCTTCTCCAGCCCCAGCGCCTCCTTCGCGGCGGCAATCTCGGCCTCGAGGCTCGCCGCGCTCTCTTTCGCCGCTGCGAGCTCGGCCGCGACGCTTGCGTGCGCGCCGGACGCGGTTTCAAGGCTGGCGATCTGGCTCTCGAGCTCGGACACGCGTTTCTGTGCGCTCTCGAGCGACGCAGAGGACTCGGATGCGGTGGTCTTGTGCGTGGCGATATCGGCTTCAAGCGCTGCGACGGACTCTTTGACGGTGGCGAGCTCGGCCTCGGCGTCCTTCGCCTTGACCAGCTCAGCCTCGAGCTTGGTCACAGACTCCTTGGACGCAGCGAGCTCGCCCTCCAGCCCGTCCGCGCGGCTCTTCTGCGCCTCGCCCTCGACGACGCGCGCCTCGAGCGACGCAGCACGGGTCTTCTCGGCCTCGAGCTGCGACTCGAGCTCCGCGACGGACGCCTTGGACGCTTCGGCATTCTCTCTGGCGGTAGCGAGCTCGGTCTCGAGCGCGGCGGTGGATTCTTTGGCCGACGCGAGCTCGGTCTCGAGTTTGGATGTGGTCTCCTTCGCGGAAGCGAGCTCGGTCGCGACGGCGGCTGCCTCGCCCGATGCGGATTCGAGGGTGGCGATCTTGCTCTCGAGCTCGGCGACTTTGGCCTTGGAGTCAGCGAGCTCGGCCTCGAGCTTCGCGCTGGACTCTTTCGCGGTCTCAAGCTCGGCGGTCGTAGACGCGGAAGAGGTCTTCTCGGCTTCGAGCGCGGCGGTGGCAGTCGCGAGCTCAGCCTCGAGCTTGGTGGCATTCTCCTTAGCGGCGGCAAGATCGGACTCGAGCGTGGACACGGTCTCCTTGGTGGCAGCGAGCTCAGCCGACTTGGTCTCCAGCTCCGCGACGGTAGCCTCAAGCGCAGAGATCTTGCCCTCAAGCTCGGTAACCTTGGCCTTCTCGCCAGCGAGCGCCGCGGCGGCCTCGTCCTTCTCCGTGTTAGCAGCCGCAAGCGAAGCCTCGAGCGCAGCGACGGCCGACTCGAGCTCGGCGACCTTGGGCGCGTGTGCGCTGGCCGACTCGAGCGCGGTGCCTTTATCCATAAGCTCGGCCTCGAGCGCCGCGATCTTGGCCTGGGCCTCGACGAGCTGCGCGGCCTTCTCCTCGAGCGACGCGAGCGAGCCTTCGAGCGATGTAACCTTTCCGTTCAGTTCCGCGATCGTAGCGTCCCGTTCCGTCAACTGGGAGTCCTTCTCCGCGAGCTGAGTCTCGGCCTTGGACAGCGCAGCCTGCACAGCGTTGAGTTCGGTCTGAGCAGCAGCGAACGCGACGGCGCCCTCCTCGAGCTCCTTCAACCGTGTACCAGCCTGTTCGTGTGAGACCCTAAGCGCCTCCAGCTCCTTCGCACGCGCCTCCAATCCAGTCTGCGCGTCCGAAAGAGCAGTGGCAGCAGCAGACGCCTCGGCAACGGCCGCCTCAGCCTTCGACGTCTGCTCGTCGAGGCGCGCCTTTAAACCGTCCAAGTCCTGGAGCTGCGACTGGAGCGCCTCGGCGTCGCGTGCCGCCTGCTCCGCCTTTGTGACCTTGGCATTAAGTTCCGAAATAGTGTTCTCGAGCTCGGACCGCTCGCCGCGGAGCTCGAGCAGCTGCGCCTGCGCCTCGCGCGCGTCCTGAGCAGCGCGCTCGGCCTCGGCCTTGGCCCTGTCGGCGTCGGCCTCGAGGCGGGACTTGAACGCCGAGGCCTCGGCTACGGATTTGTCGCGCGCGTGGGACGCGGCGAGCGCCTCGTTGCGCGCGTCGTCGAGCGAGGCTTGGAGCTGCTTGATCAGCGCTTGCTCGGCCGCCGCGTCTTGTTCGGACAGCAGCGGCGAGGCCTCGGACGCCGGCGAGGTGGCCGAGTCTTCGGAGTGCTCGAGCGTCTGGCGCGGTTGGTGATGGCGTTTGGATGTGAAGAAGTATTGCTGGACCGCGCGGGGGAAGATCCACTTGAAGATGCCCTCCGCCATCGTTGTCTGTTCGTTGTTCGTGCGCTACGTGTCAGACAAATCGGTTAGCGCTTCTGATGCACGATGTAGAGGTGGTGCTGATGGGTGGCAGCTGAGATGTACGTACGGGTCGTTAAGTGTGTGGATGGGCGTGAAGAGGGGGAGGGAGGGCTGGTGCGACCGGGGGTGGTGGCTGCGCCGCTCAAAGGACCATCGCGCGCACCCGGGGCATTTTTTGGCGCACCGTCACGCAATCGAACTGGCGTGACAAGTCGTGTTTTGCCTCCGACGCGTCGCTCCCTTTCTGCCTTTCACCACCGTCCGTACCGTACACAAAGGACTTTGACACGTATTGAACTTCATAGACACGTCTCTGCTAGACAATAGGCCTACTGGGGCTAGCCGTAACGGCGGCGATCCCATCTCGTCCGAAGGTTGGGGGTCCGCCCCTTCGATTGACACGAGGCGGCGCATGATAAGCGCGTGCGGCCCGAAAGAGCGTAAACAAGCCCGTGCTGTACTCGTTTCCCGATCACCTGCCCGTATACGCCGCTGTCTTATGAACTTCTTTTGGTCTTCTGTATGGTCATACAACATGAGCCTTCTCGTCAAGTATGCCCTCGGGGGCTAGATCGGGATTGCTCGCGAGCCGGGTTCTTCGGGAGGGGCCGACGCGGCGTCTACAGTGTCGATACACAAGGACACGGAAAGCAATAACGGCGATTCACGACCAATCCTCCGCTACCGTCGCAGTACAAATAAGTGATACATTATATCTGAACATCGTCAGGACGCGTACGCGGGAGGTGGATCCCCTTGGCGACCCAGCAAGTTGTACAAGCGCCCGATGAGGCTAGGCACTTCCGCGAGATCGCGAGGCTCTCCTTCAGCTTGCAGTACTTCTCGCACGTGGGCCTCGTCACCCGTACGCTGCACACTCTCTCCCAAGTGCGCGCCATCTCCTTCCGGCCTATGCATCGGCTCCGTATGTGGCTGACTGGGCGCATATAACTCGCGCCATTTGGATTGAATCTGGTCTGACGGTGCGCGGGAGGTGAACGGGTCGACGCTGTCCACCGAGGTTCCGCTGTTGGCGCCGGCGTGCAGCCGGATCATAGCGCGCCCAAGCTGACGACGCCTCCACAGCAAGCAGACCGCTGCGAACGTACTCAGGAGGACAATGCCGCCTACCACGCCGCCTACGACAGCCCCCGTAGGCGTCGACGTGGCATGTTTCGGCGAAATGGCCGTAGAAGTCGCAGTGGCCGTAGAAGTCGCAGTGGCGCTCTGAGTCGTAGATGCAATGGGGTTCCCGTGTGTCCTGCGTCAAAGTTCACGTTCAACTCAGTATCCCTGTGTTGTGAGAATCGACGACTTGCCCGCTGGATGAATTCAACTTCGGTAGCGCGGCGTTCAATGCCTCCAAAGCAGCGATGTTCCCTATGGCACTAAACGACCTTCGATGCGATAAGGTGAGCTTGCATCGCCACGCACACCCATGAATAGGCTCACGTCGCTGGTTGCCCGGCCCAGTTCACTCCGTAAAAGTTGGCGTTTGAGCCTGAGCCGCGAGCGTTGGACAGGATGGAGTTGACCTGCGTGAGGGCCATTGGAGTGAGAGCGGGATTTAAGCGGGAGACGACAACCTCCCTGGACCATGGTATATGCCTCTATGTAACGGGCGAGATCGCTACCTGGGTTCCGCATGCGCGCTTCTGAGAGAGCCCGGATGAAGACGCCTTTGAGATTGCGGCCCCAATTAACCGTGTCCGAAGGATCTGTGTACTCTTGGAAACATCTGAACGCGGCATCTTGACTGTCTCTTACAAGTATACTCACCGGTGATGACACCGCTGCTTGACGACCACGCCGCATTAGTGGTCACGCGGGCCACGACGGTTCCCAAGCTGAGGCACATTGTGAGCATTGAAGAAGGTACCCGAACTACTGGACCTACAACGATGTTAGAGTATCATTATGTGTCACATTCGCCAGCACAGCCAAGCCTAGATCCCTCGATGAGTAACGATGTGCCGTGGGGAGCCCATACGTGCTGACCCTCTATGAAGTTGGCTTGATTGAACGTCAATGCTTTCGACGCAATAGAGCAATCCGCCAAGTCGAAGGTATCGACAACGACCGACCCGTCCCACATATGATTCTGCATGAAGTCCACGGACAGCTGTGCCGCGTTGTAGTATGAGTTGTTGCCAGTCTCTTCGAACAGATAGGCCGATAACCTGTCAGAAACGAGTCAACTGATGTTTGGTCGATGGCACGTATATCGCGAACGTACGCCAGGAAGGGCCCCGTACACGACGCGCACACAGTGATGTCGTTAGGCACCGTGTTCTGTTCAGATGACGGTCAACCAGGGCAACGGGGCAACGATCGGATGGAATGGAGACTCTTACATTGAAGACACCACCCGCGAATGAGCCTATGGGTGCCGGTCAACGACAGTGCGCAAGCAGGATCGCAAGGACAGACCTGCTGTGCACTGCGCAGGCAGGTTGAAGGAGACATTGCGACCTACACCTGTCCCACTGGCTGCAGCGCTCGGAGTGATGAAAGCGGTCTCGTTGATCCTGTTGTAGATGGTGATTGCAGTATCCAGCAGGTCCTCTTCCTTATAAGTTCTGTATGCGTAGTAAAATGCGAGGCCCCGGAAACCAGCATCGCTGCTCTCATTGAAGGCGTCGCCGTAGATACCATACTGATTATAGTATGTCCGGATATCTTGAGTCACATCGACATTCCAGGTGGAGTTGCCAGTGTGATAGTCTTGGAGCGCCAGAGCAGAGAAATAGCCCGCGAGGTACTGTACGACGGGTATGCCTAACAAAGCACAAAGCACCTCGTCAGACTCAAAGCACCGACGATAGAAGCGGGCGACATACTCTTAGTGACGCCCTGGGATGTGTTGACTTGAGAGGAAAGTGTGGAGGCTACGCTGAGTGCTATACTCTCACGCGCGTCCAGGCTATAGTTCAACGTCGTGCCCTGTCGTTACGCTAGTAAGCGGAGTGTAGTGTGCAAAGTCTGATCGAGAACGCACCAGCCACTTGAAGACTCTGAGCCGCAGCGCTGGCCGGCCATATCCGGAGCATCCAGCCAGCAAGTCCGTACATGAGACAGCTGAAGAAAGGCATGGTTGAAGAAGATCCGGCGGGGGAGGATGTTCACCAATGCAATCGGAGCCTGTGTGAAGAAAGTGGGGCAAGTCTTGAGGGGCGGGTTGACATGGCATCGCTCTTTGAGCGTCTACAGGCGACACGTCCAAGCATAGGGTCAATAAGCGGTACGGAATGATGACACCATACCGTATGGACAGCGTGCGATTCGATGGTCAATGATGAGACATCGCAGAAGAGTGCAAGAAGATACGAATCAACCTCGAATCATCTGTCACGACCGCTGTTCGCGCACACGCGCGGCAGCGGTGCGTAGTAGCATGAACACTCTATCGGCCATGCACATATCTAAAATGGATGGCCATCATCGACGTCAAAACAATGCGGGGGACACGTAGCATGGACCTTTGATACCCTTAGTGTACGTGGGCAGGGCCGATATCATCGCTACCGAAGATCTTGGTTCCTTCACCGCACCGGGCATACTACCGCGGTAGCAGATACTTCCTCGCACACGTATCTCCGTGTTATAGAGAGCCGTATTCGCGTGATCGAAGACCACTGTAGCAGGTGCCGAGCACGCAGGCGAGAAGTCGAAGTGGGAGATGGTCAAGAGAACGCCTGAGGCTATCTTTCTGACAATGAGGCGCGAAAAGCTACGAGTAAGGGACCCCCGCATACAGGCGTGGTTGTTTCATGTTCTATCGGTGACCTTGTGTGCCAAAGCCCGCGCGGAATGAAACTCGAGCGGTCCTGGAGATGGTAGTCTTGGAGAGAGAGCGCTTGAGGGCGGTCGTGGCGGCGGAGGGCATGATGCATGATGCGTGATGCATGATTGATCGGCACGGACTGTCGTTCATGTTTCGGCACTCCCGGCCCGGCGCGACAACAGCGCACGACGCGATTCCTCCGCGAGCTCTCCTTGTTCTCCCTCTCACCCCGCCGGCAGCTGCACAATAGACCATGTCCAGATCAACCAACCTGCGCGCACTCCACGCACATCTACTCTAGCGTAATAGGCATGCCTCTTGATTTACTACAACACGTCCATGGGGTGCGGTAAACAGGTGGACGCGGCCGAACGGCGTACGGCCCGCGGCGGAACGGGACGAGGATTCTGCGTCTATTGACGGAGAGGTTATCCCGCATAGTACGTCTGAGATCCCCACGCGTATCAATCGGTCGATGCTCATGTGTAATCCTATTAGGCAGGTCGCTATGTGTCGAGCTGGATAAGACTGCTACGGCGTTTACCCTACGTTGATGCTGCTGCAAGCTGCAAGCCGCGAACGAACCCCCTCCACCCACCAGGCCGCTGCGAAGGAGACCGCGTTGATTCACACTTGCGCTGTCCAAAAGTGCACATCCTCCAATGTCGAAGAGTCTACCAGTGCTCTCCACGCGTCTGTCACCAAACCCGAGTCGCAGCTTGATGCCACGAAGACCTGGACGGAGTCTGGGAGGCCTACCTCGCTGCCACGATTGAAGTCGACGTCAAAGTCATCCCCAATCATCCTCGCTCCTTCAAACGCCAGCCGCAGGACGACCGGCTGCATCGCCCAAGGCGGCGCAGAAAACGTCCCCCAGCGCGGGCCACACGCCCCACGTCGCAGGCAAACAAGCTAGAGCCGATCCCGCAACTAGTAAGGAAGCGCGTTGTCGAGGATGGGGGACGGCCTGAGGGGAGCTATGGCTCATACCCGTCGTCTGCGCTGCCAAGTCCGAAGTCGACACGCAAGCAGTGATGCGCACCGGCGTCCGCATATCCTTCAAAAGAGTTGCTGCTCGCCGCTACCCAGAACTCCCCGTTCTAACAAGAACCCACTCCGCCCGCCGACCCTGACCAGGGGCCAGCGTCAGGTTCTCTCGAGTCATTTGTCACGACGACCGCGTCCGACTTCCCATCTGAGCTCAAGTTCAAGAGCGAACGGGAGGCTGCGAAGGATGTTGCGGCTGAGCACGAGTTGGTGTTCTACGCGTCCGAGCTCGTGGCTGATCTCGCCGTTGCGAAGGAAGCGTCTGACGCTGCTTTGGCCGCGGAGGAGGAGAACGGATTTGGGGAAGCGAGCGACCAACACCACGCTGTCCGCCGCGCTCGCGGCTGCCACCGAGTCGAGACCGAGGTCGCGCAGGCCAAGACCCACGCCGGGACGCTCGAGTCCGAGATCGGATCGCTCAAGGCGTCGTCCGAAGTATTCGTCCCGGAGTTCGCTGCTCCCCGGGAAGAGCTTGCCGCTGCGCAAAATGCGGCTTCTAGTCACGATTCATGCCGCTAAGGCCGAGAGCGTCGCCACTGCGAAGGAGGCGTCCACTAAGCTCGAGGTTGAGATCGTGGTTGCAAAGGAGGCCGCCGCTGCTGAGAAGGAGGGCGGCGCGAGCAAGATCGTCGAGCTCGAGGGCGCTCGTCTCTGTGAACGAAGCTAGCGCGAAGATCGAGGCTGAGGTCGCTGAGGCCGACGCGCTCGCTGCATCTAAATCCGCCGCCGCCGGATCCGCGTCTCAGCTCGAGAGCGTACAGCCAGAGCCCGACGCGGCGAAGAAGACCGTGTCCGGTCATGAGTCCGCTGCGGCTGGGCATGCGACTAAGGCCGAGGCTTTGAGCGCCGAGTTGGTAGCTGCGAAGGAGGCGAGAAGGAGAAGGCCAACGGCGCTGCTGTTGCGTCTGAAGCCGAGGCCGAAGCTGAGGCGTAATCTCACTGGATGCTCGGATGCACAGACCCATCTCTCGCTCTTTGTATCGATCCTAATGCTGTCTCTCTCATGCCCACGTCCATACACTTTCTCCCATGCACTCCTGTTCTTCAGTACCCAGTTCATTCATTCTGCACACTATCACCACGACATATGCGTCTTGTTTCAATCGCGTTCCTGATCTCAATCGTAGTGTCATGGTGTATCTCTACGTGATGATGATGTGTACTTTCTCGGTCAGTCTAAGCGCGAGTTGGTCGGGTATCGGTGTTGGGTCGAGGGAAAGAGTGCAGTAGTGGCTACGCGCTGGCTCGCTGCTGTGGAGTACAGAACAATGCGTTGCGAACAGAGATTTGGTGTCTACCCCGTACCAATATAATCTTGCAGGTGAATAGTTGAGCAGCCAGGCGTGCGAGTGCATGCACTGATCAAGCGCCGCCGCGTGCTCGATGCTTCTTCGCGATAAACCACGACCATCTTCATCGCTTGACCCCAACCGACTTTGCTACAAGATACCCGTCATGTCGACCACAGCAGGCGGCGGCTTCGAAAGCCATCAGCCAGTAGCGGCGAATGGGCAGGATCAATTTGGAGAGCTCTGGTCTCAGGCTCTCAGCGACTACACCAAGAAGACGAAGATCGATCTCTCGAAGCACCCGTTGGCGAAGGACTTGGCTGTGCTCGACTCTCCCGAAGAAATCTGCGACGCCTTTCGAGAGAGGATGAAGAGATATCGGCGCGATGGTACGAAGTGGGGCAGGATCCGCAATGACTATGTGAAGCCGATTGTGGACGCCTTGTTGATTATCAACAAAACTTTAGGAGAGACTGCGGGGAGCTTCGTACGTGACCCCGCCCCCTAGCGAGTTGAACAGAGTGCTCAGCGTGCGAGCATAGTCTGTGGTCCCAGGCGGCAGATTCCTCTTCGTTGCGTTCGGGGCTGTACTTCTTGTACGTGTATGGGAGACCTCAACTCGGGCAGCCGCTGACACTTGTCTCAGGCTACGAAAGGTGTCTCGGCACGGTATAACGCGTTATTGGATCTTCTCGATGAGATCAAGATATTCTTCGGATCTCTACGTCTTCGCACCGCAAGCCCAGCCAGCTGGCGTAACAAACTATCCCGAAACATCGCGTCTCTGATTTTAGTTCACATACTCGACGCTTTCGCCCTCGCTACCAACTTCATAGCATCGACCAATCGCTCTTGTGCGCGTCTATGTGAGTACTCTCGTGAGACGTACGCACTACGGGCTAAAATATTACTTTCAGTTCATTTCGGCGAGAGCCTTACCGGCAATAAGGACATGCAGGAGGTTTTGAAGCGTCTGCGTTTGCTAACGACACTCGAGTCCCGTGCGATCTCATCAGAAACGCATGTAGATGCTGCTGAATGTCGTAGCATTGCCCAGCAACTGCGACAAGAGTTGGGCGAGATGAAGATGTGTAAGCCATATTCGACTGTGTGACATGTCCCCGAGCTCATTCGAACAGCGCAAGCGCGCGACACTCTGTGCTTGAGTATCGTAGAACGTAGCGTGGGCGACGTACTGGCCAAACTCAGTGAGTGCCGTGCTCACATATTCATCTCGTACACCATACTGAGACTGCTATAGTCCTTGTCGCGAATCAGGTACTCCGATACTGGTCCTACACCATGAGACGCTGACCTCCCCTCGCAGGTTCATGAGACAATACTCACCGCTGAAGAGAAAGCCGAGGCTCGTGGTGAGTCGATTTCACGTATGGATACTTACCGGCCCGCTCATGTGCCATAGATTTACTTGCGAGGTTGGATCGCGTAGGCTTTGCAGACTTAAGTTCCCAGCGACGCGGCGGATGCTTGCCAGGCACTCGCGTTGAAGTTCTTGATGCTCTTTTCTCGTGGAGCGCTGATGCTAATGCGCCGCGCATATACTGGTTGAACGGCATGGCTGGCACCGGCAAATCAGCGATAGCACGTTCATTCGCCCAAAGACTGCGTGATAATGGTAGCCTTGGCGGCAGCTACTTTTGCTCTCGCGAAAGTCACGCAGAGCTTGCTGATGCAAATCGGATTGTGCCGACTCTTTCCGCGGCTTTGGCCGGTTCTGATATCCAATACAAGGTTGCCCTTCTGTCTGTATTGAGAAAATACTCGCACGAGGCGCACCCGAGCACATGGGCGATCAAGCTGCAGATTCAACGATTGTTCTTTGAGCCCTTTGCTTGTTATATGCGCGAGGTTTCGGCGTCACCCATGCCTATTTTGGTCATTGATGCATTGGATGAAGCGAATGATGATACCGTTGGGGATCTTCTTGACAGTTTGGTTTCTGTGGCAAGGAGATTGCCTATTAAGTTCTTCTTGACGTCTCGCCCTGAGAGGCACATTCGATGGCGCCTAGATTCCTTCAGATATGGCGACTGTCTACGGCTCCATGACGTAGAGAAAACGATAGTCACTGCGGACATTCGTCTCTACATCGAGCATCGCCTCAATGTCATCGTTGATCGGTTCCGAGGAAGGGCCGAGATCCCCGAAGGCTGGCCGACCAGGCAGGACACGGAATCTCTTGTCGCTTTGTCGGGATCACTGTTCATCTACGCGTTCACCACGACCGAACACATCGGTGACCGCAATCCCGTGAAGCGGATGCAAGATGTGCTCAATGTGCGGCGTCGACTATGGACGGTCGCGAATCCCTTAAACGATCTGGACCGCATATACACGTTCATACTGAACGCCGCAACTACGGGTCGTACTTCGGAAGAGTTGCTCTTGACGAAACGCACTCTGGGCGCGATTCTGGCCGCCCGAGAGCTACTGGGCCTTCCCACACTAGCCAGGCTACTCGGTTCTACCGTTGACGAGCTTAGAGATGCTCTCGACGGGCTTCATGCAGTCGTGAATGTGCCCGAAGATGTTGGCAATGGATCAGTGTCGACTCTGCATGCTTCGTTTGGTGATTTCCTCACGGATCGCGAGCGTGTACAGGAGCCTATGTATGTCAGTTTGGCGGATGGTCACCACGATCTTGTCGTGGGTTGTCTAAATATTGCTTTGTCCGATGATCTACATTTCAATATGAGTCAAGCACGAACATCGTTCCTAAGGAATCGGGATCAGGATATCGTTGCCTTCAGTTACGATGTCCAATATGCATGTAAGCATTGGATCATGCATTGCCTAGCAGTTCTTCGGCCGACCGTGGCATTGTTGAATCAGATTGCTGCGTTCTTTTCAACGAAGTTTCTGTTCTGGATCGAAGCTCTCACCACGATGCGTATACGGCGACATCCCATGGACAGTACTAATTTCAAACATATGTTTGATGGCGAGCTCCCACATGGCTCATCTTTCTCAAAAGTCATAGTTCATGAAGCTTGCGATATACTCAACATGATGTGGCACGGTATCAAATACAGCGCCCCACACGCCTATCTCTCACTGTTACCATTCATGTTCCTATTTCCTAACCTAGAAAAGGCTTATAAGACTGCCTTTCCACGGGTCGCTTCTGTACACTTCCAATGGATTGACGAAGAAATCGCTGAGGAAGGGTATCGGCTCGTCGCCTGTTCTCATGATGGGGCATATATTGCGGCAGTGTCGGGAGATTGCACTATCCATGTCTGGAGCCGGCATGCAGGATGGCAGCACAGTAATATTGACACTTCCCGTGATTTGCCTTCTCACTTCATGACAATTATGTTCTCCCTTGACAACAACTCCCTTCGGACAGCATCTAAGAACGGCGATGTATGGATGTGGGATCATACTAGTGGTCAGTGCCTCTATCGATGGAAGGGAAGCTCGTCCAGACCTCTTGACATGGCCTTCTCCTCGGATGGGAGGTACCTTGCTACTGCTGAGATAATCAAAGACTATATAAATTGGCGCATACATGTCTGGGATATCCCAATCCTGGGTGATGCGACCCTGCATCTTACCGCCGACTTGTATTTGAGCCCAGAACACATATATCAGCCTGATGGACGCCGAGTCAGCCTTTTCAGTGTATTCGAGTTCTCCCCTTCTGGTGCTTACATAGTCGTCGGAACGAATGGACCTGCAATATATGGGTGGAACCTGGATTCTCGTGAGCTCTGTCTTCAATGCTGGCCGGATTCATTAGGGTTCGGGCGGTATGATCGAAGTAACAAGATCACATCGCTGACCTTCCTATCTGAGAAAAAGATCATGTGTGGAACCAGTATGGATGCTGGTCTGCACATCCTTGACATTGATGCTGGTCTGACTGGGTCTCATACGAAGCTACGCTTTTCCCCTCGCGATGATTATAACAGGCCAATTGCGTCATATACCTCCTCTCAGTACAAGGATGCCTTCATTGCCACTTCTATCGACGGCGGCATCGACCTTCGGAATATCAACACAGGGGATAGAGTCAGACCCTTTCTTAGGGGAGCCGTCAATTGTGCAGTCTTTGTATATATCTCGAGCGATGGAGAGTCCATTATCTCGGGTCCTGGAAAGGGGAATAACGACGGACTACTACCAAGCGATTACGATATTGATAAGAGCATCGTTGTTTGGGACATAGGCCCAAGCTCAGATAGATGCAAACTCGGTTAGTGGGCTCATATCTCACTTTCAGCAAGGTCACCACTAAATGTCTACTACCAGCCATGAACGACGGTTTCGATCACTTCTACCTCCCCACTGCAAGCTCAAGAGGATGGATGCAGGCCCCAAACAAAGAGCTTCTTTTGTTTATCCCTGAGAAGTACCGCCAGTATCTTCAGCATCCACCCATCATCCATCGCTTCGCCGCCGGCCGGCTCACCATCGACTGGACAGATGCCGTGTATGGTGAGGATTGGACGAAGTGCTATATCGGACCCAAATGAACGGGCCATGTTGCGGGAAGGCCGTTTCGATCGCACTGAAGTTGGAGAGAAGGTAGAGCGGCGGGAGTAGGTATCGTGGTTCATGTACAATCACTGTAAAAGAGAAAGTGAGATGAGTATTCAGCATACCAGTCAGACGCAAGCTAGCCTCCTCTTGTGTGCGCGCGAGAGATATCTGAGCGGATCTGCCATAGAGCGAGTGAGAAGGAAGCGGTTGGGGGCAGTGCGTCGTATCTTCACGCGGGGTGGGCCTTTGACGTCGCGCGCGCGTTCAATCACAATCGACGCGTTGATCACAGCGCCAACCGCGCCTCTCGCACATTGAGGATCGCGCCCTATACTCCGAGTATTTTTATCGGGGGATTCTTCAGCCGCCGGCGGATGATAATGTCCCCGCAGCGCAGCGATGAAGCTCATCGACTGGGCGATCGCTCACGCCAAGCGAGTGAACAGCGTCGCGCATCCGAATACGGCGGACGTGTACCATATAAATCAGCTGCCCGTAGCACAAGTATGACCATCTGTATGACATCTAGACGTAGCCTTCCTGCACAATCCGCGCTCAGGATGATGGTGGTTGCGAACGAAGCCGCGGCGTGTCGCCGCGTTGAATATCGCGCGTTCGGTCACAGCAGTCACGCACGGCGGCGCAGTGTGGTCGCCGGCGGGGAGCCGTTAGGCGGGCGTCTCGAGTGTGCGGCGCCTGGAAATAGCCCATGCCGCCAGACTAGACTCACTGCGTGTGCGGTAGAGATTTGAGGTGGCACAGCTGATGTGCAAGATGCATGTGCCAGTATGAGCACAGGGGGACGCGACTCGCGACACCATGCACGCCAATGGGTACGCTCTCGCGCAATCTACACACAGATAACTATCCCCGACCACACCATCTCGTATCCTAGCTGAATGTGAAGCAATGTTGGCGCAATGTAGCATTGAGTACGGTGGCGCTTGCGAATATAGCCCACGCGCGTCGAGCATCACGCTCGCGTAAACATCACGTCGTGTCTTCGAACCTCCTCCGCCTACTAAGTACTTCGCTGGCCCCACAGTCTACGAACATACGTATACACGACATTGACCATCTATCATACACTCGCATCCACTTCTTCTTGTAGCGCCCATGCCCATCTTAGGATTCTGGGGTCTTCTTGCTGCTTTTCTTTAGCATGAGTGGCCCGTAGGCTGCGATGGGGCACCCGAATCCGCGTTCGCGACATGGCTCGGCTTTCTTTTCGCGCTCGAGGGCCCATTGGGCGGCAAGATCGGGCGGATGGTGTTTGCCTTCTCCCTGTTTGCGCGCTGCATGTGCCAGTTGGTCAGCGTCGGATCGTACTGCTACGAAGTGTCCGAGAGGTAGACAGGGATGTGGGTGCGAGGAAGAGAGTAATGGGGAAAGGAGAGGAGAGAAAAGAGACGTACGCGCAGGCCCCTCATCCACCTTAACTCTCCAGTATACACCTGCCTAAACATTGCGCTTCGTGCTCTGCGATCGCCCCCTCCTAGGGACCTCTTAGTCCTGCGCCCACGCAAGAGCAGTCAGGACAGAGATCATAGGCGACTAGAAGTTATGCGGACTTCGATGGCCTACGCAATGTCCTTTCATCCTTCCGCGTCAACTTGCGTAACAATCTCTCCGTATTCGCCTTGCTCACGAGAAGACGGACCTCCTCGCGCCCCTTCTCTCTCTTCCTCTCCCTGATTCTCCCTGGCCGCCCTCGCAATATCCGACATCCCCAAGTAACCACCGCCCATATGGCATAATGCCAGATGAATCGGGAAGCGCGGGCGCTGGCTTACGGCGCGTTGGTGTAGCAGCAAGCGGGCAAGAGGCGGTGCTGGGAACGGAGGAAGGTGAGAGCTCGGGAGGAGTTGAGCTGGCCATGGCGGAGTGCGCGAACGGGGAGGATAAGGCGGAGAGTAGAGGCGGTGGCGCTGAGCGCGCCATTGTCTGTTGCGGAGGGATCGTTGGCGACAACGGCGAGGGGTGCGCCGGTTCCATAGCAAGGGCGTTGGACGAATAAGATGGACATGTCGTCGATCCGTAGCGGGGGTGCACCGGCCTCAACGGCAGCCGGCGAGCTGTGTAGTGAGCTGCACGCAGATCCGCACAGAGCCAGTGCTTTCGAAAATGGGACGGTGAAGCGTTCGGCGCGGTGTAAGGGCAGGGGTACTAAGGCCAGTTGATGGCGACGGTTAGAGGGTGGATGCGGTAGGGATTGGAAGTTGGGCGAGTGAGAGGATGCAATATCTTCGATCTGTGGTGTGGACGCAGAATGCCCCGGGTTGGAAGCGCAGCGACCGACGAGCCAACTCGACTGCGAGGAGTGCGCCAATCCAGTGATCTTGACCGTATCGTCGATTGCTGGTGGCGCACCATCAACCGGTGCCGGCGAGTCTTGACCTCGACCTGGGTGCGCGTCGCAAGGGAAAAGCGCAGTCGCGTCGGTGTTGGAAGCATTGCAATGGTAGCGCGACGTTTGCCGCCCGTACGTGGACCTCAGACGCGTCTCTTTCTTGAACCGGGCGTGCCTCTGAGTCTGAAGCGCGCGGGCGATCCAAACGCGCGTCGGCTTCCGAGAACGCGTTGTACAGCTTCGGTTTGGGGCGAATGCGCGTCGAGGTGACGAGACTGATGGTGGAGGTGAAGCAGTGGGCAGTTCTCGTCGTCGTCGTCTCTGGCGCGACGGCATACTAGGCGTTGTGCAGAAAACTTGAACAACCCATTAGAACACACGATACAGCCAGACAGAACCCAAAGATGGCTCACCTCCTCGACATCCGGACTCGCGACCGCGGACGCGCACACCTTGGGACACGGTGGCCGCGTCCTCTTCCCGCCCAAGCGGCACACCGCGGTCCTCTCAACCTTTATCCTCTCCGCCTGCTTCCTCGACCAGAGTTTCTGCGCTCCGGATCCGTCTTTGCGATCCGGATAATCGCGCCCACCGCGTTTGCTGGTGCCGTTACGACGGAGTGAGATAAGACGTATGGGATGCATAGACGGTTAGGAAGTGGAAGTGGAAGTGCAGCGAGGCCAAGTTCAGTTTAGACGCGCTACGCAATGTACTCTTGTGTACTCGGCACCTCGGCATGACGTCACCGTGATCCCAGGCCGCGTCTCGCGAACCGTTACTAGAGAGCATTTAAATATTAACTCGCTGGGAATACTCTCTGCTTCCGTCTTCTTCAGTCGCGTCTTTTCGCAAGCCATGTGGCCCGTTCAAAGATCGACTTCAAGACCGGATTCCATCCCGCTTCGAGCTTCATCCAGTTCGTGGTATTTCCCGAGCCGCGGTCAAATGCGAGCGCTCCCTGCTTCGTTCACAGCGCCTTGACACGCCGACGTGCTGTTCACTCGTTCGCGTATATGCGCATCCTTGTGCATTCATACGGTGCTCGACCTGAATCAGGTTGCGGCACCCCGAGCCGCAGGAACTCTGACTCTACGGACGTAGTGGCCATCGATGGACCCGTCCGCATAGCTCGTATATTTTGAACCGACATAGACCCCTCATGACACATTATGCATTACGAACTTCGTACGCCGGTGGAAGCTCCTCTTGTCTCCCTAAATCCGACTCGGTCGCTTCGGGCGATACTTGCGCACGATCCCTGTCCGGCGGTACATATCCATAAACAGTCTCGCCCTGCCACTTGTTGCGAGTCTGAGCGGCGGGCGCGGTATGAACGAACGGGTCGACGCTGCTGAGCTCGAGAATGCCATCGCTTCTATCTTCGTTGGGAGTGACCAGCACGTCTGTCGAGTGAGTGGTCGCGCGCTTGCGACGCTGGTGTCGCATGGTGAAGATTACGGCGATGGCGATGGCCGCGATGCCGCCTATTACACCGCCTGCTACGGCGCCGGTAGGGGTAGATGATCCGTGGGAATCTGTACTGACTGGATCGTCACTAGAGCTGAGAAAGCTCAGCATCATCCCCTTCGCCTAGGCCACAGAAGAGGAGAAGCTCACCCCGAGGATTCAGGTGAGACAAAAGTCAAAGCAGTGTTGAGAACATCTAGAGCGGCGATGTTGCCGGCAGAGTTGTACGATCTTGCAGATGACCGGGTGAGCGTGGGACAGAGTAAGACGTTGATGAAGAGCAGCAACGTACGATGCACGGGGACCAGCCCATTGCGGCGAGTACCAGCTATCATCCGGCGCGGCGCCCTGAGCGTTGTCTATCAACGCATTGAACTGCATATGATGGGGAGCGTGGTCAGGACAACGATGGGGGGAACCGCACGGAATAGCTACCTGAATCGTAACATATGCCTCCACGTATCGTGCAATAACACTGCCGGGGTTGCGCATACGAGCCTCCGCAAGTCCCCGTATGAAAAGACCTTTGAGATTCGGCGCCCAGTTTTTCAGTGCTCCCGATTCTGTGCTCTCATGAGAGGTTGAGCGGACAAATCGGTTCAGAGTATGCTCGCCTGATATGACAGGACTGCCAGACAGAGACCAGACGGGGAACGTAGTAGTACTGGAGACCACCTCCTCGAGTCTAGACGGCGTGTCAACATCGCCACAGTACGATAAGGCTCCTCTTACAGTGACGTCAGCGTAGCATTCTTCGTTACATTTGCCCATACCGCCAAGCCTTGAGTCCCAGGTCAGAACAGAGCCGTTTGAAAATGACATAGTGACTCTGACCTTCGATGAACCCAGCCTGATTCACGGTCAAAGGGTTGGGGTGCGGGGTACAAGTGTTCAGGTTGAACATATCGTAGACGATGGTGCCGTTCCAGAGATGATGGATCATAAAGTCGACAGAGAGTTGCGCCGCCTCGGAGTATACGGTCTCGTTCGTTGCCTCGAAGAGGTATGCCGATAAGCTGTTAATCGAGTTAGCAGCATAGCTCTCATGATACTCCGATGTGCGCCACGTACGCCAAGAATGGACCAACACACTTGGCGCACACGTTGGTGTTGTTCTGTACAGCGTTGCTCTGTATCATAGCATAATGATCAGCGCACGATAGGGGCTCCAGTGAAGGAACGAGGCTCACGGCAAATACACCACCCGCAAAGGTCCCTGGCAGTCTCGTCAACGCACGGACATACAAAGGATTTCCACGAAGACGCACAGTCCGAACAGTTCGCAGTCTGCACAAACGAGACATTCCGCCCCGCGCCACTGCCACTAGCAGCCGCATCCAGCGTAACAAACGCAGTCGCCCTCGTATGATTATAGATCTCTATCGCCGTCTCGAGCAAAAACTCCTGTCGATACGTCCGATATGCATAATAGAACGCCAGCGCCCAGAAGTTCCCGTCTTCGACGAGCCCGGTGGATCCCGGGGCATCGTATACGCCCTGCTTGCGGTAGTAGTCCTGCATGAGTTGGGTCACGGGTTTTGTCCAGGTGTTGTTCGCGCGGTTGTAGTCTTGGAGAGCGAGTCCGGCGAAGAGGTTCGCCATGTACTGGGTCGTGGGTATAGCTGGGGAGGTCTTGAGCAGAGCAGCTTTGCATGAGTCGGAAGGGACACATACATTGAGATAGACCGGAGGATGGGTCGATTGCGTCGACTCCGATGGCTGTAGCTGCATTCAGGGCGAGGTTCTCCCGCGACTCGCGACTGAGGTTTGACGTAGTGTCCTGAGGAATGGAGAAGGAAAGTTAGCGAGTGCATGCACGAGTCGCGCTTGGCGACATGCGCACCAGCCACGTTGACGGGACCTGGAGAGCTCGAACAGTGAGCGTCATGACCCAGAGGGACAGAACAACGAGTCGCAGCCCAGATGTGCCAGGCGGGGACACCATCGTACGAGGTAACCAGGGGGAGGGTGGGAGGTGGAGGGAGTAGTACGTGTTGCACGACACTTGGGATATATGTAGTGAACGAAGACGTCGGGAGATAGTAAACGAAGAAAGCATAAATGGCTCGGAAGTAGAAGGCGTGAGGCTTCTGTTACTACATCACCTACAATCGCGCTTCCACGGAACAATGGGCGTGATGAAGGCCACTCTGTTGAACTTTCATCTAAGCGGTTTCACCGTTAACTTTGATAGGCGCGGCGTTCACCAGTGAGCAATAGTGTGGGGCTCGACAAGCTTTCACTGTACGTACGTCAGCGATGCTGCGACTACGGGCCCGAATACCCTCAACGAGAACGTACCTGGTACTCGAAAAAGCTGCACTCTCCAAAGTGACGTACTGAAGTGAATCCCCATTCTGAGTCGGAGAGGTCGAAGAGGTCTAGCGGATATAAACGCGCGAAGCGCTGAACACATGGATACACAAGAGTAGATCAGTCCGATCAGTACAGTTGTTGCATCCTGTATGTGTCTTAACCAACTTCAATCTGCCCTTTCAGCGGTTCGCGAGCCGATGATCAAGGGCAGTTGTTTACCGTCTCGGAATTCGCTCGGAGGGGAGGACTTCGAGAGCTTCCAAAGAGCTTCAGTAAGGCGCGGCTTTGGAATATCGAGCAGAACATTCAGATAGCGCCGCCTCTCCGTCGAGAATGCATCCCAACATCATGTCAGCATCTCGTCAAGCGAGCGCCAATCTGCGCACTCAGGCCCTCTGAGCGCGTGAGCGCGGGGAGAGGTGGTCGCGTAAGCTTGCAGAGCAACGAGAATTTTTTCTCGGCAACAGCTGATGAGAACTGGTGAGCACTCTGTATCAGTGGTGAAGGCCAGCGTCAAGTTCAAGTTAATACTCGAACGCGGTTCGGGCGCGGGAAGACATTGATCCGCCTCTCTCTCGCACACCACCACCATGCATACTGCATCGAGATACCCTCGCTGCGAAGGCGGCTGCCATTGAGCTTGAGGTCGGGATCCCGTTCTCAGACGACAATCTTTGCGAAGGAGGTCGCCGAACACTACATAGGCTCTCAACGCCGCGCTCGTCGCGGGGGAGGAGATTGAGCCAGAACGAGCGCCGATACATGTCGACACCCTCAAACGAACGCGAACTCGCGGCGCCCCGGACCAAGATCGCCGAGCCCCGTGCTGTCTGGAGAGCAAGATACGGCTGTCGCTATCTCAAAAGAAGCGACTGGGGTGCTTAAGGAGGATCTAGTTACTTCGGAAGAGGCCGCGGTTTGAGCTGAGGCAGACGTCGCTGCTGCTGCGTCCGAGGCGACTGGACTCGCGAACGAGCTCACGAGCGCGACAAGAGACACTAAGAAGGCGAAGCTGAAGCTGTCGAGGAAAAGAAAGCGGCCGTAAAGCCCGAGCACGCGAGCAATCTGGATAGCGCGGAAAGAAGGACGAGGCTTCGGACAAGGCGCTGGAGAAGTAGGAGAACGAGCGCGAGCTTGTTGAGGTGGAGGGAAATGGGTTTGGCGCCGCCACTGAGCCCGCTGCTAAGGTTGAGGCTGTGGCGTGAGCTCGAGGATACGACCGTGTCGTTCTGTGCATTCCATGTCTGATGCCGCATCCCCCCATCTCTTCATCGACCGTCATGCCATTCAATGTCCGCATGCACCTATGTGACTCGCATGTACCATACCTCATTCGTTAGTTTTGCATAACAACTGCAGACTACCACCCAACATCTATATAAGTTCCGTTCACATCATCGTAACTTCACCCTGATTGCAACCTCTGTAGCCCGTCTACGCCGCACATGCTCATCATGTAGCTCGTACGCGCACGCGTATGACAACAGGTGCGACCGCGGCGAAACAAGCAATATCTTCTTACACAGTAAATCAGATGGTTTCTGGCCAGCGCGCTGGTACTATGGTTAGGCTTTCTCCGTTATTGCTACCCGGTGACCGGCCACCAAAGGGCCATGCAGATGCAGATACACCCAAGGGGGCACAGTTGTGTATGGCAGCGCACAAACGAGTGGACATCCATACAATTAGCATAAAGGTGACAATGTACAATTGAAGGGAAGTAGTACAGAGTCCGATAGCGAGATAGCCTGCATGGCAAGGCTTGTCAAGAGGCATACGCAGGCGGAAACTCGTCTTGGCTCGGATGCAACAAGCGAATCAAGTTGCGTAGACGTCCGACGGCGCCCGGTAGATCCAAATCCTCCTGTTCAAGTCTATCCTCGGTAGACAAGGGTCTTTCCGCGGGAACTTGCGCGCGATGTACGACTCTCGTCGGCGCTCCTGTTTCTATCGAAGATGCGCGAGATCCTCCTGGGTTGGGCGCGTAGAAGTCGTTCCACTTCGAAGAAGGTTGGTTTGCGGGCGCAGAAAGCACGAATGGGTCTATGCCAACGGTAGGGATGTCACCGAAGTGAGTGGTGGCGGAGTGCTGTTCCCTCTTCGCAGCTCTTCGGCGACGCCGCCACAAACAGAGACCTATCGCGGCGAGGAGCACAACGATCCCTCCCGCTACCCCTCCCGCTACCGCACCTGTATCGATCGATGCGTGTTGAGACTCGCGTGCGGAGTCGGTCGCAGTCGGGACTTCAGTAGTTGCGCTTGTAGTAGTACCGCCAGTATTCGGCCTACGCTCATGCACAAGGTTCAGCCATGCGCACATGTGGGAGGTACATGGGAGACGCTTACCCGGCTGCCGATACTGTGAGGTTCATGACCCCGTTGAGGACGTCCAGAGCACCGATACTTCCGACAGAATTGAACGACCTATCGAGAGTTATGGGGCTTGTTCGGATTGATCGCACGATGATGTGACTCACGTGGCACGTTGAGAAATCCAAGACAGACCATAGAAGTCTACAGTATCCGGCTCCGAGCCTCGAGTGTAGGACAGGATGGAATTGAACTGTGCTTGCTCCTGTCAGCAACAAGCACCAGCGAGCGAGGAAAGAACTTGCCTGATTGAGAATATATGCTTCAATGTAGAGGTCGAGATCGGTGCCAGGGTTCCGTGCTCTTACCTCTAGTAGTGCGCGAACCAAGAGTCCCTTGAAGTTCTGGTAGAACATGCTCAACTGGGTGTTTAACTCTAAGAGGTCAAATGTCTATGAGCGATGATTCAAGCCAATCCCTAGAACGAGCCCGTCACGGACCGTCTATGACACCGCTGTTCGAAGTCCATGTCGGGTAAGTGGTGACATTGGACACGACGTCTCTCAGTCTAGCAAGCCCGATCAGCGCCACGTGTCATTATTATGACGCAGATGTACTCACAGCGAAGTCAGAGTAGCGTTTTGAGTGATGTTGGCCCATACAGACAGCCCTACGTCACGTCCATCAGCTCCGTCGAGACGGAAGGTAGTAGCCCTGCCGACTTGCCTTCCACGAATCCGGCTTGATCGAGTGTACAAGGTTTGGGATCCAAACTACAGTCGCGGAGACGGAACGTATCAACGACAAACGCTCCGTTCCACATGTGACGGATCATGAAGTCCATTGAGAGCTGCGCCGCGTCGCTGAAGTAGGATTGATTCGTAGCTTCGAAGAGATAAGCCGACAGCCTAGAAGGTCGTATGAGCCCCAAAGAGACAGGACCGAAGGAACGGTGCGTGGTGAGACTCACGTGAAAAAAGGGCCGATACACTCTGCGCACACATCGAGGTCGGTGGACACATTCCCCTAAAATGAGCTCAGCGCTCTGAAGGATACATCATCGGATAACGAGGTTTACAACGAATACCCCACCCGCGAAAGTATCTAGGAGCCGATGAATGGGNAACCTCTTGTTTGTATGTTCGATATGCGTAGTAGAACGCAAGGGCCCAGTAATTGGCGTCGCCACTCCAACCAAGATTGTTACCGTACACCCCGATCTGTTGGTAGTAGCTTTGCATGCTTGGTGTTACGTATGCCATCCATGTGGTGTTTCCGCTGTAGTAGTCTTGAAGGGCCAGAACGGCGTAGTAGTTGGAGCGGTATTGCGCTGTGCGTTGACCTTCAACGGAAGCCATGCGTGAGATGGAGGGAGAGACTGAAGAGCACCAGCATACCTGTGTTTCCGATCTGGTGGTAAAGCGTGTTGGCCGCGCCATATGCTATGTCTTCACGCGAGCTCCGACTCGTACTCGACGACGTGTTCTGTGAGTATTATTGATCAGCCAAAGGAAATGAAAGCATGGACAGTGATGGAAGACGTGCCAGCCATGACGACGGAATTTGAAGTGCCTGAGCGGTGGTCTCCGTTGCCAGTACGGCAAAGATAGAGCCTGCGGTGATGATGTGAAAGAGCATAGCACGAAGTGAGAGCATAATGTAACGACAGTTGTCCGAGAGCGTGCCAACTTCCAAGGTCCTTTGGCGTATGAAGATGTTAGTGCAAGCTGACGGGGGCGAGGGGGGGGAGCGAACAGGAAGCAGAGCTACCTTGTTTTGATACTTGACCAGGGTCCCCACAGAGACGCAGATCGACGATTGCGGAACGGCCCATGCCACTGCTAGCTCTCACAACGGGCGCTGCCTGGGCCTCAGTGTGATCATCACGGAGATGCTCTACGCTACCTGCGTCCCGCGACCGCACATAGCAGGATGCCATCCATATATACCGTTCCGAGTCCCTGCGTCGCTCCAACACCGTAGATTGCGACTCTGAAGTCGAGACGCGAAGCGCCGTTTCTGAGGCCAGCAGATGTTGGGGATCATCGATCAAATGTTGGACGGATGGCTGACGGACGCCGGTGCTGCTCAGGCGCTTCAACCCCTCGACTACGCACTACTACGCCTCAAGACGCAAAAAACAATGGCCAGTAATCCACGTCTTGGTGTCATTGAACTCCTCGCCATCTCGACCAGACGAAACAGCTTTGGGCCCCGACGACTGAACGCGCGCGAATGCCGGTGATCACAGTGAGATCACCGAAGGGTGAGAACTCCAGGCCATCTTCGAGGCGCCGTGGATGGTTATAAGCAGAGATAATATTAGTGACTCGGAGTCGGAAGTACAACCCGTGGACGGGAACGTGTAGCTGGATGGCCGTGGCGGTCAGCTCTGAAGCGGCGAACGCTAGGCGAACACGCGCCATCAAGGCACACGGAGATCGGACCGCGAACTCCGTTGACGACGGCTCCAGTGTGTCAATACAGTAGGCCAAGTTCAGACCCTTCCTCACACCTATACTAATACTGTACCATCATAGAATCATCCATCTTGAGATCGGTCTCTGAACTCACTTTCCTAGGATGCCTGTCCAGTGTCCTGATGCTCACGCTCACATGATCAATCGACACCCCGCATCTATCCATTACAGTAATCGCAGTCCTGTTCAGTCTCATGATTTTGGCCTTGACCCCCTTTTCACTGTACCCCATGCATCCGTTCTGCACACAACCAATGCGATGCATTCATTCCTATTCTTCCCATTCGGAAAGCCAAGCTGATTCTTTGGATGTACCACCGCCCACGTCTTTCACCCATCGAAGCTGCAGTGGCAAATTGAAGATGATGCATACAAGGAAATAGCTACGGGACTGGTATATCGTATGCATACTCAAACGCGACCACCGTCTTCAAGGCACATACGCGGGCGGGAGCTCCCCTTGACGATATCCATGCAGGAAGTTTCGGAGGCGCAATATGTCGACGCCCAGGCGATCCTGCCCGGCTCTATCTTCAACCCTCATGGGTCGCATTTCTGGCTCTTCCACACGGTATGGACCTCCATCTGTCGTCGCCGGCGCTGGAGCGCCCATGAATGACGCACCAGCCTCTCCTTCGTTGGGCGCGTAGAATCTTTGCCATTTCGAGGGAAATTGGCGAGTAGGATGAGGGTCAATGAACGGATCCACGCCGATGGAGGTGTCACTGATAGGATTGTCAGCAGTGTAAGTTTTGGTACCGGAGGCCATAGTCCTCGTGGCTCGTTGATAGCGGCGCCGCAACAGAAAAGACGCCGAGAGCACAGTGATGACAACGCCGCCCACAGTTGCGCCGGCTATGGCACCTATATGGGTCGGGTTATGCCTAGATATAGACGCTGATCCAGAGGCAGATGCAGATGCAGCGTTCGTGGCAGTGGGCCCTTGCAAGCCACTCGACCTAGTAGATACAGCTTGAGATCTTGTTACTCGGATGTGGAAAGCGCATCATCAGGACTAACCCGTTCGATGACACGGTCATGTTGATGACGCCGTTGAGAACATCCAGAGCATTGATGCTTCCGAGAGCTTGAAACGATCTGTCGAAGATCAACGCTTCGGCGGAAAGTGCATCGCTTAGGAGTAGAGCTTACAAGGCGTGTTGATCGGTCCACAGAGACCCGTAGAAGTCATCGTCATCCGGTCCCAGCCCTCTACTATTGAGTAGGATGGAATTAAACTGCATTCATTGGGTGAGCAATGGGCGCTTGCGGAGTGTCGGCATCACAGAATGTACCGACCTGGTTGAGAACATACGCTTCGATATAGCGGTCGAGGTCGGTACCGGGATTGCGTGCTCGTGCCTCCAATAGTGCACGGACAAATACACCCTTGAGATTGAGGTGGAATAAGCTCTCGTCATTGCGGTTGGACTCTGGGCCTTGTGAGTGGGTATCGTTGCGCAGCATCTGTTGCGAGCACACACCGTTTATGATACCGCCATTTGAATGCCATCTAGAAGAGGTCGTCACGTTGGACACAACATCCCGTAGGCTATTTGAGCTTCTCAGCGCCAAGAAGTTCCAGTATCCTCGCGATCGTGCTCACATTGCGACCAGAGTGGCATTCTGTGTCACGTTCGCCCATACAGATAATCCTGCGTTCGATACCTTAGCTATAATAAAGACATGATGCCTGATCCACTCACCTTCGATGTACCCGGCTTGATCAAGAGTGACTGGATCCACATCCACGCTACAGTCTGTGAGATGGAGCGTGTCGACAACGAGTGTTCCATTCCACATGTGGCGAATCATAAAGTCTACGGAAAGCTGGGCCGCCTCGCGATAGAAAGATTGATTCGTGGCTTCGAACAGGTAGGCTGACAGCCTGAAGAATGGATGATTCTCGGAAGCTGTAGTCAAGATAGGTATATGATGTTGCTCACATGAGGAAGGAACCAACGCTCTCGGCGACGACGTCCAGCTTGTCCGAGTCGTTCCCCTGTGGTGAGTTCAGTGGGATCTAGAATGCGCAATTGCTTTTGATCAGACTTGCCGCCGAGACCGCACCCGCAAATGTCACTAGTGTCCTGGTGAGCAGTTCTGCAGAAGTTGACGAGTCTACCCTTCATACCAGGTGAACAAGGTGGAGCAGGAAACGATCCATTTACACCAGTGCTAGCCCAACCGGCCGCAATACCAGGAGTGATGAAGTTGGCCATGTACGTTTTGTTGTAGATGTCGATCGTGGTATTGAGGAGCGTTTCTTGCTTGTATGCCCGGTAGGCATAGTAGAACGCGAGGGCCCAATAGTCGGCATCGCCGCTCCATCCATGAATATTTCCGTACACGCCGTTCTGAAGATAGTAAGTCGGAAGGTTCTGAGTCAGTCTAGACATCCAGGTTGTCTTTCCAGAGTGATAGTCCTGCAGAGCCAGTCCCGAATAATAACTTGAGCGGAATTGTACCTGTTCAAGCGCTGACGTGTACAATGCGAATGAGTACGAGGTTGTCGAGATGGTCAACATATACGTACCTGTATTCTGGACTTGTATCTGATTATCCAGTGTGCTGGCTGCGCCATAGGCAATAGCTTCGCGCACGTCCCGACTCAAGTCCGACGTCGTATTCTACACGCATGGTCAGGTACATATGTGGAGAGCATGTGCTGAATTGGTCGGCAAACTCACCACCCAAGTCGAAGGAACGTCGAGAGCGCGTGAGGCAGGCACGACGGCGCATGCAAGAAATAGGTGTGATAAGATCGCGAGCTCGAAAGGGTTGGCGAGAGCAAAAAGTAGAACCATGTCGGCACAGTGTGGCGGAGTCGGAAACGTGTTTTTCGCCCAATGTACAACCGCAATGGTCAACGCCGGGTACGGGGAGGAGGGCAGACAAGGAGTCCGGCTGTCGCGGTTCGATACTTCAAACGCCACAGGTACTTAGATATCCTGTTCTCGGAGGATACGTAGACACCGAAGCTGTGCATGCGGATCAGTTCGACCTTCTTCTCGCTTTCCATTGCTGCCAAGCCAAGGCGACCTTTGACAACGAAGACAGACAAGGCAATTCCACGTACACCGTCTGACCCAACTCTGATCATGAGTCCCTTGACAGGAATCTTCTCCATCGTGTTCGCGTACGGTCGTATGTACAAGGCGACACCCGCATATCATCATCGAGCGGCCACCGGAAGCGCCACACCAGTCGGGAAGGTGATGAGTCGGGAGAGATGAGGTTGGGGTCAGATTTCGGGAGAACGAGGATGATCTTCGATCTGAAGTGTGAATGCAGGCCGACGCTGGAGACGCGGCGACCGTGCAGCCAGCCTCGAATGTAAGAGGCGCGTTGACCAGCATCGATCCTGTGGTCCCGGGGGCCGACGCGTCTCGAACTTGATCTGGGTGCGCGCCGCAAGGGAGAAGCGCGGTCGGTCGCGACGGCGTCGAGAGCGCGGCAATCTCCATTGTAAAAGATGCTACAGGCAGTGCAATGTTTGCCATCTGTGCATGGAGTTCGCCGTGGTTGAGGGCCTCCTTTACGGGCGCCGGCACCGACGCGTCTCGTTCTTGAATCGGGCGTGCCTTCGAAGCGCGCGTGCCCGCCGGCGTTTCAAACGCGTGCGTCGGCAAGGTACGGCTTCTGAGAAAGCGCGCTCGTCGACATTGAGCGACACGACGATGGCCGATGGTGACGGTGAATCAGCCGTCGTCTTTGGGCGACGATTGGCATACTGCATTCTGGGCAAGGTGTAGACGATCTTGCTACGGCTTCTTGGTAGACTTCTTGGTAGATGTGGCGGACTTGTGAGGTGTACGACCACGCTCGTCAATTTCAGATCCGACTGAAGTAACGTAACGGCCATAGACATGACTCTCGCACTCGGTATATAGCGTATAGAGAGTACAAAGTCTTCAATACGCGTACGGGGGTGGGGGCTGTCCCTGACGACCCGGCGACCTTTCTTGCACACTGTGTATGCAATCAGTCAGCTTTGATCCATAACTCTGGGGAGTGAGGGAGAGACTTGGAAGCGTAGGAGGGAGATCTGGAAGGGAGGGTAAAGGGAAGAGACGTACGCGCAGCTCGGCCTCCCGTCTACCTCGAACTCCTCGCATGCACCTGTATATCCGTCGATTCAAGCTCCTCTCGTAGTGAGCATATCATCCTATGTCCGCATATTATATCAGCACTCATCACGCAGTGATTATACTGTTAGGGTTATGCGGACCATGAACGAGCCGAAGAGCGGACATCGGCCTAACCAGTTGACGTCGTCGAAAGCTTCCGGCGATGAAGCATTGATCCAGCGGCGAGCCGGGCCAACCTAAAGGCCATCGGAGGACTGAGACCGGGCGAAGGTGACGGGAAGGTTGATGGGTCCGACCAAGGTTTAGCGCGCAGGCGAGAAAGTTATGCTGGGAGGGTTGGGCATGTCGATTTCACCAGGCGGTAACGGGTACTGGCATGCCAGCGTCGCCCGGGAGCCACGCAGTATGATCTGCGAGCGGTCTTTCCCGACTGCCATCATCATGATGTCCTCTATGGCAGATGGTGGGTCGTGCGTAGGCGTCGACGCCCGTCGACGCGTCTCGGTATCAATCCGAACTTCGCTCTCACGACGAGTCCCCTCCCACGAGCTAAGTACTGGCTATGCGACACGTATTGCCCTAATATTGAGGCAGCTGAGCAACTCGAATGACTGTGTGGATAACCATAAACGACAAGAATATATGTTCGAAAGGTAAGGGAAGGATATGCTCTCTCAAAGCTAAGTAAGCGAGTAGGCGCTCAACACCCGGAAAACGCCGTCAGGATGCGTATGCAGGCGGAAGCTCCACCTGACGGCTAAGTAGGTGGTACAAGCGCCCGACAAGACCCGGCACTTCAGAAAGACCATCCGACTCGGCATGTGCCACTTCTTGCATGTCAGTCCCGTCCCGAACGGCCTGAACCGACGTCGAGCGTTGTCCAGATCCAATCAGCGGTCCTCGTGCAGGATCACTGTCGCCTCCGTATGCAGCAGTTGATCGCGACGAATGTGCAGTAACCGGTGATGATGGGCCGGCGGCACTGTGGCTGGGTGCGTAGTTGTCTCGCCACTTCGACGGAACTTGGGTAGAAGGAGAGGACATTGTAAAGGGATCGACGGCGCCGAGTGCGTTATGTTCGTCATGGCGTCCGATGAGCGATACCGAGGATGTCATATTGGGTGCTGCAGAAGCAGATCTGGCACTCGTCTGGCGGCGGCGATACCAAAGGAAGCCCGCGATACAGCCGACAACGAGGATTGCGCCTCCTACCGTGCCGCCAGCTATGGCCCCTACGTTTGACCGTGAGGGGCTCATCGGTGCGCTGGTAGTGGCGGTCGCGGCTGTACTCGTAGTGGCAGGACTTGCGGAGGTTGCAGTTTCATTCGTTCTACGTCTTGTTCAACGACACGTCTGCCCTCTATGAGGGTAGCTGACTGACCCATTCGCCGGCTGAACCAAACTGAAGGCAGCATTCAAAACCTCCAGCGCGGCGAGATTGCCGGGCGCACTAAACGACCTGAAACAAAATGAAATGATCGCACTGTGCCGTTGACAGAAGAGGCACTTACGTGGGCGGGCTGCCAGCCCACGCTGTCCCATAGAAGTTGTTGTTAGGCGGTGCGCCTTGTGCATTGGACAGGAGAGAATTGAACTGCACCCATTGCAGGTCAGCGCGTGAGTGGCTACGATTGAACCTGAGAGCTCGCCTGTATCATGATGTATGCTTCGATGTATCGCGAGAGGTCCGATCCAGGATTTCGTGCACGTGCTTCCGCAAGCCCGCGTATGAAGAAGTTCTTCGAGTTGTAGTCCCATTGTTGAAGACCTCCGGACTCTAGCGCCCAATTAGACAGATTTGGGAACATGAATGGTAGCGAACCCGCCTGTGAGCACCGGTATCTCGTGCAAGGACCACGCGGGGAAAGTGGTCACGTTGGAAACGACCTCTTCAAGACTAGAGCGGAGTCTTGTCAGCTCACTCTGATAGCTAAAGGACGGAGTAGTCTCACACTTTCACCAACGTGCTGTTTTGAGTGACATTCGCCCACACGGCCAGGCCTGTACTTGCATCGTTCAGAAGGGAAGACACATCGCTGGATGGATGTCACCTTCGACGTATCCAGCTTGGTTGAGAGTGATTGGTTTCGGGGAGGGTGCGCAGTCGGGGAGGTAAAGGAGGTCGTAGACAATGGACCCGTTCCACATATAATTGAACATGAAGTCCGTGGAAAGTTGCGCCGCCTCAAAGTAGATCGAGCTATTCGTCGCTTCGTATAGGTAGGCCGATAATCTATAGATAAGATAAGATCTCGATGACGTTCGAACGAACATGGAGGACCTACGTCAAGAAGGTATCTGTGCATTCACCGCACAGTTGAAGCGACTCCGGTTGATCGTTGTACTAGGGTGATGAATGATGGATCAGGTCTGTCGATTCCACGGAGGCATAGACCCGATGCTCACATAGAAAACGCCTCCTGCCAACGTCCCTGTTGGTGGTATGAGCACTTGTGAAGATGCTAGGCGGACTCTGATATAGACATACCATGTGTGCAGTTCGGAGATGCAAACGATATATTCCGCCCTGCCCCGCTACCACTGGTGGCGGCACTGGAAGTAATGAAGGCCGTCGTGTACGTCATGTTGTATATTTGGATCGCAGTGTCGAGCAAGAACTGTTGCTTGTACGTCCTATACGCATAGTAGAACGCGAGGGCCCAATGGTTAGCGTCTCCGGTTTGGCCGGTCGCTGGTGGAGCGCTGTAGACGCCCTGGTTAACGTAGTTCTCCTGCATGACCTGGGTCACTTCATTGACCCAAGACGTATTCCCGCTCAGATAATCTTGTATGGCCAGCCCGCCGAAAAGACTCGCAAGGTATTGCACGTTGGGAATCACTGTATAGGTAACGGATGAGATCAAATATCCGGCTGAAAGATGATCGCGCACCATCACTGACACCACCACCAGATGGCTTGACCTGGTCAATGAGGGCTGTAGCGGCGCCGAAGGCAAGCCCTTCGCGCGCCTGGCGACTGTAATTTGACTCTTGACTCTGAGGATCGGACTGTCAGCAGACATGAATTGTGGCAAAATATCACAGAACGTACCGTCCACGTTGAGGGTACTTGGAGGTTCTGGGCTAGAGCTCCAATGGCCAACAAGCTCAGCAACCAGGGATGAGACTCATATGCGCGGGGGCTGAAGAAGTGCATGGCTTGACAACGTCCGGCGTGGAAGGCCGCTCGACGATGTGGGCTCGAACGGGGTTAGGATGGTGTATTAGCGAAGTGGCCGAGTGAAATGGAGCGTTGCCGTAGGTAACACCATCATGTTATGAGGGTCCACCGGCGACGTACCCGAAGCTCGAACGCTGGAGAACTGGGGGGGGCATGTAGTGATAGGGACAGCGCCCGCATGCCAAGACAACATCCTATCATCGAAGTTGCTCTATACGCAGTCCGGTGGGATGTAACAGAATGCCTCGAAGCGGAGACTGGTCGTACATGTACAGCGCCGAACAAGTGACCGGGCACACGGGCGCAGATCACCTGCAGATCATCATGTTGATGACGGGAGAAGACTTGACAGCGGTATTGTTTCCAGCTGCTTGCAAAACGATAGGCCACTGGGGGGTCCTACACATACAGCCCGTTTGCACCGCTTTGCTCCACAGGTGCCCCCGCGGCGTTGGCCGCGTTTCTCGCTCAGGCTGATTTGCGAGTCCTCCATACCATACGAATTAACCGGTTGTCGCGATTTGCGACCCTCGGCCTCAGTACAAGAATATCGTGCCAAAACCGCTGCCTCAGAAGGGAAGCTGGGCTTTTGGTTGTTGAAGCCCGGATGAGCCGTCTCGGAGCCTCGTGTCATTTCCACGTGAGCGGACGACGCGAAGTGGCGCCCGGCTCTCTATGTGTAGGACCCCCCAGTGGCCTATCGTTTTGCAAGCAGCTGTCAGAGTCTGCAGGTCTTTGGAATAGAGCTGGGTGCCGTCAACGCTGATTCCCCGCCTGTCATTCAAGTCGCCTTCGAAAACGTCCAGCGGGAGAGCCAGTGTATCGGAACACCTCGGCCCACATGTATCCAGTACAGGTGAAGAGCCACGTTTGCGAGCGTGGAGTTGGCTGAGTCAGAACACTACGGTCAATGCAAAAGGTAAAACGAGTAGTTTGGCAGGTACGATTATGTTGAGGTATAGGTGTCTACAGAGGAATGATGCATGATGATGGTTCTCGTTCAGTGTGAAACGGCATCAACGCACTGCACACGCGGGTTCTCAGGCCAAGACATCGGTCCGGGAATCCGATAAGTCACATCCTCTGATTCCTCTCCATAGTACGCCCGCCGCAAACCGCTTTATAGTCCTAAATACTAGTCCTACTACACGCGTCATTCTTCACATCCCTCTCACTTGGACGCTCCTCTACACATCTACCCACACAAGCCGAGAAATTGTACGGCTCAAGTACATGATGGATTACATGGTGGCGAGGCCGTGGTGGTACAGTAGTTCAGAGCAAAGTGAAGGTGCACCAATGAAATCGGCACCACGCGCGCGGGTTCTCGGCCGAGAATCCGACAGGGCACATCCTCCCTCCCTCCACCGTCAGCCGCCCAAACTTGTCTCTTCCCGCCATGATCAGATACTGCAGGCCCGCCCTTCTCGCAACTGCTCAACGTATCTCCTATCTTTCATCTTCCCCAGGAGACTTAGGCGATGCACCGAACGTGTCAGTCTACTCTATCAAAGCCTAGGAGCCAACTGCCATGGTGACGTCGTGTCGTAGCGCTCTCCGGGGCGCTTGAGGCTGCTACGAAGCTCGAGACCGAGGTCGGGCAGGCGAGGACCCATACGGGACGCTCCACTCGGAAATAGCATCGCTCAAGGCCTCGTCCGAGGGATCCACCATGGCGCTCACGACTGCCCGGCAAGAGCTCGCCGCTGCTCAAAAGGCCGCGTCCGGGCACCAGTTTGCTGAACGCGCGAATGAGGCCGAAAGCGTCGCTGCTGCGAAGGGGCCCGGAGACCTCCAGCAAGCTCGAATCTGTGACTGGAACGGCGCAGAAGGCCGTCGATGCTGCGCCCGCTACGGAGAAGGAAAACGACGCGAGCAAGGCTGATCAAGGTCGCCGAGCTCGAGCGTGCCACCGCAGCACTCGCCACCGCCAAGGGAGCTAGCGCATACAACAAGGCAGTGGCCGCTGGGGCCAAGGCTGAAGCCGATGCGCTCGAGTTCGAGCTCGCTGCGGCCAAGACCGCCGCCGCTGACCCCGCGTCTAAGCTCGAGGGGAGCTTGACGTTGCGAAGAAGCCTGCACCCGCGCGCGAATCCACTGCATCTGAACGCTCTGCGAAGGAGGCGGCTGAGATGCTAGAGAAGGAGCTTGCGTCTGTGAAGGATGCTGCGAGGCTGAGGTTGCGGAGGCAGAGAAAGCTGCCGCAGAAGGGCTCGAGAGTGTCAAGGCGAAGCTGGAGAGCGCGGAGAAGAATCTGAAAGAGACGGCGAGGCGCTGAAGAGTGTGCAGGAGGTGAAGGAGAAGGAGGGCGAACTTGCGGAAAAGAAGGCGAAGACAAACGGCGCTGTTGTTGCGTCTGAGCCCACTGACTGTCTCTCGTGCCCCACCTTCCACTACCACGTCTTTACCTATCTGTCATCCACTCCTGTTCTTCAGTAATCACTTCATTCGTTTCGAATTCCGCATACTACTACCCTTGGGCATTTCTCTTCCTCCTATCACCAACACCGTAAGTTCACGCCGGCTCTTTCCAACCTCACTTCCATACCCAGGGTCCAGATTGGGATACCAAAAGAGAAATGAAGTGTTTTTATCCAGTAGAACGCGAGCAATGATGACGGAAAAGTAATAAAGCCCATAAATGAATACGCAAGATGTTGACTGTCCCGATGAAATCCAGCGCGAACCCTGGTAACCGCAAGCGTAATAGACGTGCACCGGACGTGAATACCAGTAGTCTACTATCATATGAAGGAGACGGTGGGAAGGGTCTTCAAGACCCGTACTGCGGCGGATGCTCTGCCTGCTGATCCTGTAGAAGCGGATACAAGTGACGAGCAAGTGTGGGTAGATCAGCGAGTGTGAGCGCCTGCTGGGCGCCCACGCCTTGCACGTCATCTCCCGACAGCGCGGACGCCTCATGCGGAGAAGCGCTCCCTGACGCCATACCGCCTTCAGATCCTTCGTTGTCGGACCTGCGTATAATAGGCGTCTCCGCATGTACGAGACTCGGTCGCTTGAAAACCGGTGTAGAGTCAGATACATCAACAAGCAGTGAGGGATTGGCGTCCTGGTAGCGGGCTGCTACAGGAGCAGCTGGCCCCTGCGCATGGAGCGCCGTGGATGACGAAGACGTGCAGTGGACAGTATGGAAAGGCGCTTGCATGCGCTGTAGCTTGCTTGGCCTTACGGGCGCTGCGCCCGGGTGAATGAAGCTGGACGCCGTATATGTTATCACAGGATGAACGACTCCGGAGGGAATGCAAAACGTACGGCTCAATGATAGGCGCAGGGCCATGACCAGGAGTTTTGTCGCTCTCGCCCAACTGTTCGTGGGCAGGGTCGAAAACCGTGACGTGCTTCCGACGACGACGCCAGATCACATATGCGAAGGCCACGACAATAGAGACAACAGCACCAGCAACTACTCCGCCGATAATCCCACTCTCGTTTGAAGCCTTCTTGGTATTCGTCGTGCCATCATGTGGCACCGTGGAGTTTGTTGGGTGCGCGGATGAGGATGTTCTGTGAAGAATCAGATGTCAGCATGTGATACTCGATACAAACAGAATTTGTCTGCCCACGTAGAGGGTGTTCCGAAGAGGAAAGCGGCATTGAGAACATCCAAGGCAGCGATATTCCCCACAGCAGTGAAACTTCTACACGAGCTTTAGGAATTTTATCACGTCACGAGAACATAATCCTCACGAGTTATACGGGCCAAGCCAAGCGGTTGTGTAGAAGTTAGTCCCCGGTGCCCGTGCATTATTCATGAGGGCATTGAACTGATCGATGGTATTCATCAACGCAGTTTCTTCGACACCCAGGACGTAGACGAACCTGAACGGTGATGTATCCCTCAAGATACTGACTAAGAGTCGTTCCAGGGTAACGACGGCAGACTTCTGTAAGGCCACGAATGAAAAGTCCCTTAAGATTCGCTTCTACGTTAGAGACGTCGCCACTCTCTACATAGCAGGTCAACAACAGACAGCGTTCATTCGAGAGAGATGATACGCATTACCATATATGATACCGTTGTCCGGCGACGTCCAGTAATGTCCATTATGAGTGACACTAGGTATGATGTCGTTCTCCAGACTATGCACGTTCGTAAGCGTCCAGTACTCACGTCCAACGGTGTACGTACAAGGTTGTCCAGACTCGACCCGGATCACCCGTGACGTTGGCCCATACCGATATTCCTGCGGATAAAAGTCATTCCTCGCGGAAAAATCACCGCAATGGCCGAAACCCACCCTCTATAAACCAAGCTTGGTTGTAGGTGAGTGCATTTCCGTTGCCTTTTGAGCAGGTGGCCAAAGTGAAGCCGTCCGTAACGATCGACCCATTCCAAAGATGATTGTGGATGAAGTTCAATGACATCTCGGCAGCATCGCTGTACGACGAGTTTCCCGTTTCTTCAAACAGGTACGCCGACAGTCTCGTGTTGAAATCAGATGCAGCACCGTGAATCGATTGAGAGTCACTTACGCCATGAAAGGCGAAACCGTTTCTGAGTTGATAAACGTATTGTCTCGGGGAGTCGCTTCCTACAGTCTCACTCGTGAGCAGAGATGTCATCGAGGCTTGGCATCGACAGCCTCACCCAGAATACGCCACCGGCAATGGTATCTGAACGTCTGATGAGAACGGGCTCGTATCCTGGAGTGCAACTTGGTTGCTCGACTACTCACCGTTGGTACAGTTAGGCGGCGGGGTAAAGGTGATGTTGCGCCCAGCACCAGTGCCCGTGACAGCGGCGCTTGAGTTGATGTAACCGCCCGCATATGTCAAGTCATATGCCTCCACGGCAAAATCGAGGAATCTCTTCTGTTTATACGCTTTGTACGCATAAAAGAAAGCGAGCCCCCAGTAGATGCTATCGCTGTTGAGCTTTTCGTCGCCTGTATACACGATGTAGAGTCGTCGCTCATCTACCCATGTCTGCACACTGCTGTTCACTGCGTTGTACCATGTCGAGTTCTGACTGTAGTAGTCTTGTAGCGCAAGGACAGCAATAGCACCAGTGCTATATTGGGCGAAAGGTAGATCTGACGAGATAGTATATACGTCTCAGTGCATACAAATGACTCTCGGCGTGGACATACTTGGATCATCCCCTTTCAAGGATACATGTAACAGAAGTTCCGACGCAGCGTTGTTGGCTAGCTCTTGACGTGACCCACGGCTGAGAGCCGAGGTGTGATTCTACAATGCCCTGAGTCAGCGCCAACGAGGATATGGGACGTAAGCACACCCAATTCGATGGAATACTGAGTTCTTGCGCAACGACAACTGACAGACAGATGCACAAGAATGGGACAAACAGCATACCCAAGGGTCGAAAGAGCATGGCCAGATGCAGATGAGGGTGTACTGTAAGCATCGGGGTCCGAGCGCTTCAACTTTATAGTGTTAGTCGAATGAGGCGCTACGCAGATCAGTTGGTGACCGTGCAACTACGGGTACAGTGGTTGTACTTGTTTGACGACATCGCAATGCACCCCGGGATGGACCTGAAAGACCGATATCCCGCAGTTAGCGGATGAGTAAAATCCAGATGATGGTCCGGCATACGAAGTGGTATCGATGGCCTCGTAAGGGTACGTTCGATGCAAGTGCACATTCAAGCTCTTGAGAACTATCGAATAGCATCAGAAGCTGCAAGCACGCATGGTATGCAAGCTCACTAAGCGCAACAAGTCGACGTACTAATTCTCGTCAACAGTCAATTATGACGCCGAATGCTGCAACTGCGCCCCTTCTTGCGATGGTCAGCTGGTCAGCTTTCGACAGCAGGGCAAGATAATTGTCAGATGAACACCACAGAGCACCATGGTGGGCGCAGCCACAGAGGGTATACAAGCAATCGACTTGCCGTGGCGGATAGAGCATCTCTTTCAACTGATCGCCATGGAGCCATCGCTCGGACGATAGAATGGTTTCACAGCCCCAGATGTAAGATACGATACCGCCCATAAGAAGTAGCGTCTGCGACTACCTTTGCCAGGTATCACAACATATCCGAGACCGGAACTGTTTTATCAACTCAAGGCCCACTGGGAAGGATGTTAGTAGTGAACTCAAAGAGGAAACCCGACCAAGCGCAAAGCCCCTTGACCTATCGGCTCTCCGCTACGCGGGATACATGACCGGAAAGCGGGATCACTAGTGCAATGAAGTGTGGAAAGCATTGGTGGTGGTTGGGTGAGAACCAAAGGTTGCTGCAAGCGCGAATTCTCCGGTATCGGCCCGACAGTCCGAGGGGCTTGAAATTTCCATCTACGGCTCCTGTCTCGGCCGCGACCACTGCCGAATTTCGCACCCATCTCTTCATCAATCTTGGTTTTGTCTCATGCACATGCCCATATGCAAGTCCATACCCTGAAGAGGCGTTATGAGATAGATACGGATGGACAGCAGCCGATGCCCGTCTCGGCTTCCCGAGCGACATCTGTGATGAATCGCTACTCGATGGCCCAATGAACGTACAAGACCTGTGTCTACCTAATAGGGAAGCGAGCAGCAGACGATATACGTATGCGGATTATTGGTAAAACTGACCTACGTACCCAGTACGATCTTACTGTACATTGGCAGATGTGGGTTTATGCTACTTACATCGGCCCGATAGCTGCGGCCGCGTACTCTTTATTGACAGAGTACTTCAGGGTTGGACCCCACGAACCAAATTAGCCGAAGCCGAATATGTAAGTAGCACAGATTGCAGGAAGTTCCAGCGTGAAAGTCAGTGTATGAAGGAAAGAAGCCAGTGAAAGGATATACGTAGTACAAGAGAGTGACAAGGCCAGGCTGGACGCGAGCGTCCCCAGATAATAATCCCCAAATCAACTCCACACCCCACGCTAGCTTCCTCTTCGAAAACAGCCTCAGGCAATGGTGCACGAGCCGGTACCGAGTGCGGTCGCACAAAGCTCGTCGAGGCCATACGAGAAGTGCATCAGCCTTGCGGCGACCTCGTATGCTGCGGGCTTCGGTGATCCATTTGAGTCGAATAGAGTCGCCACTTTGTCAGCACCGAGCCAACTGACGTCGTCGCGCGTATCCCAGTTAATGAACTCATTGCAGTTGCTCGCGTAAAGACAGGCCTGCAGCTTTACATCAGCACGATTCGCGTAAGACGGTGAGGGGGAGTGGAGGGACGTACATCGAGGTAGTCTCCCCATATCGCAGCTTGGAAGCGTAGGTTCTCCTCGGCCGTGCCCGAGAGCGAGACGTCAAGTTCGGTGATGAGAGCCTCAGCGCCGAGGTCAGCGAGAGTAGAGAAGGTCTGCGTCAGAGCGTCCTTGCTCGTGAAACCCGTGTCAGAGACGTGGCTTTGGAAGCCAATCGCCAAGCGCTCGGAAGAGATCCCGGTGTTAGCCTGCACGTCCTTGAGCACGGCGATGTTGCATGCCGTTTTGGCATCGTCTCCACCTAGGACACGTGGGCAACACAATATTGAGTCTGATGTATAAGATGTACGAAGGGGTGTAAACGTACCGGTTCCATAGTCGTTGATTGCAAGGCGGGCATTAGCGTTCGCTGCGGCCGCGGTTTTGAAGGCAGCATAGACAAAGGACAAGTCCGTGACGAGCGCCGTCCCAGATCCGTCAGAGGTGACCGTCGGCCAGGCATTCTTGTTCTGTACACACTGTAGTGCCGACATGCCGCTCGTTGTACTGTCGCCGACGATCTCGTTCACGACGTCCCACGAGGTCACCGACGACCCCATGCCCTGAACCTCCTGCTGCACATGCGTCGGGATGATCGTATTGACGACATCGCTTGCAGAGAAGGTACCGGGAAGCCAGCTCTACGATGGGCGCGTCAGCTCTGGATAGGCGTGGCTTGTCGAAGGAACGCACCGGTAGCTGCGAATGCCAGAACGTATTGTGTCCGCGGAACGACGCGTTGGACGCAGCAGCGAGACTCTGTACGGCCTGACACGCCGTGAGGGAGCTTGTACCCGGAGCCGGCTCGGTCGCAGACCACTTGCACTCGTTCTCCGCGACAGCGTGATTGTAGAACACATCGAAAACGTCGCTCGTGAAGCTCGGATCGGCGTTGTTGGTGTTGTACGTCGAGCCGAAGCGGAAGGTTTGGCCTTTGCGCGTAGACACAGCTGCCAGGACTGTGCGGAGGTCGATGTCGCCGCCCGTTGCGTAGCCGTGATCGATGAGCAAGTCGACGGTCGGCACTGCTAGCGCTGGCGCGGCTACGACGACGAGTGAAATGAAGGACGAAAGCGAAAACATGGCGACCGGCGCACAGCGGAAAGAGTGAAAGCTTGCGGCATGCTTTGTCGATGGACCGATTATATATGCGGAGAGTCTGGATTATCCGTTTGTCACTAAGAAGCGCCTGCCGGCGGGCTGCGTGCCTCGACGCAAGGCGAGCTCGACGCGGAGATCGACACCCGAGGGCCGGTCGCCGTCGCAACGAGCGCTGATCGCTTTCGGATTTCGGTGCCTGTTTATGATGGGGACGGAGGAGGCGGAGCGCATTGCGTTCAAGCGTACTGATCGAGTGGATGTCGTATAGACAGTTTTACTGGCACAACGTCCGACGGATTTGAGTCTGAGGCTGAGGCCTAAGATCCGAGTACTCAAGGGGACCTGTCCCGGTTCATGAAGGCGGCAAAGCGTCCTTGTCGCGGTTGACGGGAAGACCGACGCTCGAAATTGCACGGCGACTTCGACGGGTGGCTCGCAGATGTCTGGGCTAGCCATGGAGTTATGTATCCGGCAGCGATGTGCGCTCAGAGCTATGGCCCACTATCTCACTCGAAGAGGACATGAGCGCAGAAGCAAGGACCAGTAGCAGAGCGTCAACCAAAACGACACCGGAACGGTACTCGGGCCGAGGCCACGCCCGGCGGAGCGGTGATATCGGCCGAGTTCAACGTCCCTAGCCGGTCTTCAAGCACAGTTGCTGAGGCCTTCCATGGCCGAGACTTCCTCCCATCTGGTACTGACATATGCCACAAGTATGAGAGACACAGTAAATACGTATACGAGTGAGTATAATATCTTGAAAGAAACCCGTCAATATCCATCGATGGCCTCTGACTACTTCGTCCCGTCGCGCGCCCACACTCCTTCTACAGGACAGCCCATCATGTCACTCGCCTTCCGCATGACGTCCAAGTGCCCAGCTATGCTGATGTTGAGTGCAAGCCCCATGGGCCACAAGAGGTGTGAACACGCACCATCTTTCCAACGGGAGGGCCCGAGCTCCTCAAGCCTATACCCCTGGTCATCGTATTGGGGCCCGGGAATATCGGCCGCTCCTCGTAATCCTAGTGCGAGGGTAACGCTCTCAAGGACTTGCCACAGCCCCGTTGCGCGTGGAAGGTACCACGGCTTCGTCACCTTCCTGTATGTCTTCTGTTTCAGTGGAAAGAAAGCAAGAGTGCAGCTGACACTCACAGAAGAGGGTGCATGCGCGCCAGTTTGCCATCGCCCTCACATTCTGCATTTGCCTTTACTGGTACGACGCAATACGGATACGGACGGGGCGGGAGTAGATGGCGACCGAAGAACCGTATCAATGCTGCACTAACGTCTACAAGGAGATGCAGCGCCCAAGGCTGTGCAGGCAGTCTACGGCGATATGATGAGATGATATTCAGTCAATGAGAAAGCACGACGAGCTAACTTCATGGCTATGCGCATGCGCTCGTCCATCGTGCATATAATCAGGCGCTTGAACAGCCCACGCGCGAATGAAGGAACGGATGATGCAAGCTCGTTTAGCATCCCCTCCGCAAGCGCGTGATTGGAGTCCGCTGGTACCATGTAGCGGGTTTCATAGTCCTATGTATGATACGTGCGTTCAGAATGAGGGTTTCTGAATGATCATGGCTGACAGCGACATACCGCCGCCCATGCTTCGAAGTCTGCTGCGCTGCTCGGTATGTCGCGGAGGTTCATCAACTCGCCTATATGGCGCCAGAAAACATAGCGCGCGTGCACTTCCAGCGGTGATAGCGGGCGCCAGCCAAAGCGCCCCGCCCATCTCTGCGAGTATGTCAGACTTGCAGGGAATGTTACATGACCACACGGGTGGGTGACATACGATGGGAAGGAAGATCACGAATGCCAGCGTAATCAAGTAGTCTTCGTTCTTCTGTGGGTACAGCCCTGTCAGCTGGAGGAGGGACATCGGAGCAGCCTGTGGCTCACAATTGTGTACTTCTCGTGCAACCAATTCATCCGCGCTATCGCCACATACGCACGAGGGTCGGCATCGGCAGCCTCTATGCTAGCAAATGTGGCGTAGAAGTCAGAAGGCGCTTCCCCGGTGCGGAATGGGCATGTCGAATAGGTGGCTGGAAAGATGGAAATGTCAGACGGTGCGCAGGCGGTATAATAGCAGGCGTACCGACTAGAATGGCCGTCTGTGAATATAGTCAACTCGCGGACCCAGGGTCAGGGATTGCCACGCCGCGCGTCGCCGAATGAGGCAATGTATGGCACACGCACATCTATATAGCGCTTCGAGACTGTACTCGATTGGAGCTCCTTCGTGCCGCTCAAGATCCGCGAGATGGACGGCTGAGGAGCCTGTCAGTAAGGGTGAAGTGACATGGGGCAACGTGCATACGATAGCGTACGTTCGCACAATGGCGAAAGAGAGAGCGTTGAAGAGGACCGAGGGAATATCCCAGAGCAGCGTCGTGTGCATGATGTCTTGCGCCTCAGAAGGAGTGAGCGAGCTGGGGTCCTGGATTCGATGGGCATATTTGCGATGCACATGCTTGTAGCGGCGCCATCGCGCGAGGTGGACGAAAAGAAGGTAAGAGAAGACGACAGTGATAAGGATCAGATGTGCGCTGGGAAGCGCAGCGAGGACGGTGAAGGGCCACATAGCTAATCCCAGTCAGTATGAGGCGTAGATGAGGTCTTATAGGTACGCGCTTACTGCATACATGGACCCACGACCTGACGCGCTTGAGTGTATCCATGTACGATTGGCATGGAAGCCGGAATCTTAGTTGGCGGAAAGGATATATCGCCGCCACAAGCGCACAAGGTGATATTGCCTATCTGGGTCAGAGTGGTGGACCCCTTTGTCGGCCGGACTGAATGGAGCAGCCCAATTCAACCAGTTTTACCCATGAGGCATAGAGAGGGTCGCGTTAAGCTCGGTTGAATGAAACCTTGGGCCTTGAAGATAGTGCTGGCATTCGTATTGCGATATCCCCAGAGCGCCCACATTCCTCTCTAAGGCGCTGCTTCGAAACACGGATCACTTGGGGGCCAGTAGCGTTTCGTTCAAGAGGCAGGAGGCAAAGGGTCGCGCTTCGGGACAGGTAGCATGGACATGGCGGAAACAAGAGAAGGCAGGACGCAATATACCCTGTACGGGTATACAAGGCGCTTTCTCTTCGAGATGGAGGAAGAACATCCAGAGGCGTTTGGGCAGGTAGCGCAAGTGCGAATCCCGAGGCGGTTTGTTCACCGTCAGCCACTGGTATGCGATCTCATGCAACACGACTCCAGGCACTGAGCCGGTGCACTCTGGGCAATGAGGCGGAATATGATGTCCCCGCGGTGGAAGCACGAGCCAAGACCAGTTGGACCATGCCGGTAAAGTATCGACGATGACGGTGACCTGGTCGTGGCGGGAAGAAGCAGGGACGCGCGGAGGCTTCACGGCCCCGAAGAGGAAGAGCCCGAAGCCGGCGTGCCACGGTTTCCCGGGCCGCCGTCAGGCTCACCTGTTTCCTCTCCCCACCATCTCTGTGTGCTCTCAACTCTCGTCTCGGTATCCGGATTCCCTACAGGCGTCTATCACTCCCTCAACACCCAACCTGAACATGAACCCGGCATCAAGCACGGCCTAGCTCGTGGGCAAGTCTTCGGCTCCCGCGTTAGCTTGCTCTGTGGCCCGGACACCGAGCCCTACTCCATCCGAAGCTGCAGACTCGTGGGTGTATACGTACGTAGTCGGCATGGTCATACCTAAAGGGCTCACAGCTGAACCCTGTGCAGGTGATCTGAGTTGAAGTTGAAGGCATAGGAGGAAACTATTGGCCGGAGTACCTTGAAGGAATACCGCGCACCAAGCATGCTTAAGCCTGCGCGGTGGGCGCGCGTATGCCTCGAGTATCGAGGTAAGCACCCCAGTCTCTCGGGAGATAACCCCGACTAATCTATGCCGTCCCTTTCAGTGCTTCAGCGGGCGTTTTCGGCGCTTTCTCCTTCTCCGACATACGATGGAGCGCTCGTTCGACGCTACGCAGCTTGCGATTGTGGCACTCCGAAGGCGCATTTATCCTGCACGCCCCGCAGCTGTATACATCTTCGAAACAATCGCCACGCGGACAGGACAGGATGCTGTAGGCAGTACGCACCCTGTACCAAGCGGCACAATGCTCCGTCTCAGCCACGATATTCCTATCTCTGCCGCCACCGGTTCGCGACCGTGAATTGGGGGGAATCAGGTGCGGAGAGCGAAGGCTGAGAGCAAGATGGGACGGGGACCAGCACAAGAACGCTTGCTGTAAATACGACAGCGCTGCTATCCTCTCCTATGTTGACTCTGTACAAAATCATAGTGACATGAATGAACGTCCGGAGTGAACGATTCTACATGCGTTCGCGTCGGGCTGGATGCTATCTGGCTAATGCGCGCGACTCGTTACAGTACTCGTCTTCATGGGCCCTCAAAGTCTAGCAATTGTGAAGCCTCACATCTGTGGTCTGGTCACCGCTTCAGATTACTCTCAGTGTCCTCAACGCGTGATAAGCGGCGGCTGTCTTTGCTGCACGTTTCGCCGCGCCTTGCCCTTGTCCTATGACTTGGCCGTTCACTGACACAAACATCAGAACACCACACAGCCTGCCGTGATCATACAGGATAACCGACGTGTTGCAGTCGCATGATGCGTCACATCGTGCGCTGGCCCATCTGAGGACAACTGCCATGCAAAGGCATTGCTTGGTCCTATGCGACTGAGATAGTTGTGTAAAAGCGCGATGTAGTCCGCTGCAAAGTCTCCTTGGTATTGTTATGAAGATACAGCCACAGAATACCACATACGACTCGTAGCAGTCATCATGACTTGTAGACTCCTTGAGTTGAGAGCTGATGACGGTGCCTTGGCTCTAAACGGGACGAGATTGCTCCGTCTGCAGCCGATGGAGGTGAGGGTGAATCGTGACCCCTAGCGGCCCAGTACCAGGGGGGTCTTTATAGACGCCACGACTCTGTGACTAGACAACTTCCCAGACTAGTACTGGTATGGCTTTCATGACTCGTCCAAGGACACCTGTGTTCATTCGTCGTGGCCCTAGTCAACACATAGCTCTCGAAGGTCTCTCCGGACCCTCCAAAACTATCGAGACCGGACTGAAGGTGATACGTGCTAGGATCGGACACACCGTGAGGGATGCATCGATGCGCGAACCGCGAGATCATAGCGCTTTCGATTACAAGGTCCAGGCGGTTCAAAGATACGGTACGTCATGAGAAACGCCTTCTAAATCGGCAATTCGAGGCTCGTAACGGTTTCGCGCTGGGTGAGTTGAGACTCTAGACCATCTTCGCTGCACCCCATGATAACATATGGACCGTGGGGCTTGAAAAGACGAGGACTGGCGATCACTAGATACAGCGTCGTGTGCACCTGATCAGATAAGTGTGCACCTACGCGAAGGCGAAGGATCACGCGGAACGGCCTGAATTATATTGATGGGAATTGTAAAGGTAACATTGATGATGATACAAGGGCAAGAGCAAGAAGTTTTCTTCACCCGCCTGACCATAGCGCGTTCCCTTACACGCCCTGTCCGCATCCCGACCAGCTCTTCTATTGACTTGAGCGTCTGACGAGACGTCGCCAAGCTTATTGCGTCGACTTGGCCGATATTCGTGGACGAACGTGATGTCGAGATCTTCTCCGTCCGGTGACCTCAAGGTGAGGGGTGTTGTGCTTCCAAGTATCTCGGCACCGATGCGTCGTTGTCCGATACCGGTTCGGGCGAAGCACGTTTTCCAGGAATTCGTAAGAGAGAATGCGACAAACGGAGGTATTTTTGCGAGCGGTCGCTCAGGCGCCATATAGTATCACGTGTCGGGCGAGATAGCTGTGTGCGTATTGCGAGGCCCACAGTACGACGAGAGTACGAGGTGATGACAAGACGTCGACAAGCATTGACAAGTAGATGCCCAGCCAGCGAGGAGCAAACCAGGGTGTCGAGAAGTGAAAACCAGGGTGGATCGTGCTGGGCGCCAAGGCGACTACGAGCGGTGCTGCGGAGGCCGATTCGTGTCTTTCGACTTGACAAAAGGGTAAGACGCCCGTGTAGTGCAGTGCGATACTAGTAGATGTGTATTCGTACGCCAGA